CCAGTCCATGTGGCAAGGTTTGTGCTGGCAGTCAGTAATGTGGCCTCAGGGCAGGGCTTGGGGTGATGCCTTGGGTGTGGCTGATCCATCTGCCCACCTCAACTCACCCATCCATTCATTCATCACATACTGAATCCAGACCAAAGCTGGCAATTGGGATACAGATAGATGAGTTAAACATGGTCACTGCCCCCAAGATGGGAGGGGGCAGCTACAAACACAAATCTAGGATAATGGCACCATGCTGACACCCCAGAGAGGTTAGAGCTTTGTGGTCCATTATGATAGCCACGTGTGGCTTTTAAATTAAAAGTAAAATGCTCAATTTCTCCTTCCCACTAATCACAGTTCAAGTGCTTGACAGCCACATGTGGCTAGTGGCTACCATACTGGGCAGTGCTGGGTTAAAGAATGTTTTCTACAGTTGGACTGTGGGAAGGATAAGAATTCCAGAGGAAAAGTATGAGCAAAGGCACAGAGGAGGATAAGCAAGCAGCTCGACCAGATGAGAGTGAGGGAAGAGGACTGTGTGCAAGTTCGAAGCACTGGCACTGGGCTGTCTGGGTTCAAAGACCTGCTCTTCCACATACTGTTGTGAACTTCAACAAACTATTTCACCTTTCTATGCCTCAGGTTTCTCAGCTGTAGAACAGGGACACTAACCCTTGCTGTGAAAATTAAGTTCACGCACACGGTACTTCTCTTAGAACGAGGCTTTTAAGTGCCAGTCAGTGAGCCCTAGAGGCTGGAGCAATTGCCAGGGGCGAGGTCATAAAGGTCCAGGAATTAACAGGGGTGACAGGAAGCTGGTGAGGCAGCCAGATGGGAAGGAGGAACACTGAACTCCTCTGGCAAAATGTCTCAGTCTGTCTGGTTTCTCCCAGCACTGTTTTGTCATAGTTATGGTGTTCCTTCTCTAGGAAGGGAATTCCTTCTCATAGCTATCTCTGCTCACACAGATGTCTGTAGGTAACAGGGTGGGCTGGCTTCCAGTGTGGGTGCAGATGGACGAGGTCAGACCAATCCAGGGAGCACTTCTTTCTTGCAGGTGGACATTGCATCTGGGATGGCCATTGAAGGGATGTGCTATGCCCAGGTATGTAGCCCATGCCTGCTTGTTAACATAGGCTGGGCCAGGCTGGAGGGACTTTGTATAAAACATGACCAATTTAGAAGGCTCCTCTCAACACAGTCTGACCGCATCCATCCTCCCGCATAAGTCACCAGAGTGGCTTGAGGAGAGCCACAGTGCTTCTCTCTGGGACTTTTCCCTCAACCATCTAATGTATTGGGGTACATCCTGCCCACTTAATGCCGAGAATCACAGAACACAGGTCCTTAAGAGGAAGAAGCACTTCTTTTGCCTCTGTATCAGTTGCCACTGTAAAGGCCAGGCTGGAGTTGGGAGGTCAAGGGCTTGGTTGTAGCCTGCAGGCTGTGTTCAATGTAAGGGTGTACACTTGGGACTGACCTCTTAAATCTCTTACTCATGAGTGAGTAAAAAATGCTAATCTCCAGGTTAACAGATATCCAAAATACTCCTAAGGGGTGCTGGGACTTGGAGAAACTAGTGTGAACCTGGATTCAAAGCCAGATTTCTTACTGCAAAGAATTTTTCTTCTCTACTGAGCAGCCTCATGTCAGACACTGCAGAAGGCAGTGAGCTCTCTGGAGGCATGAAAGCATGAAAGCAGTGTGCAAGGGGAGGCTAACGCCGATGGGGCGCAGAGATACAAAGGCTGGCCTGTCTTCCCCAGGAGACAAAGCAGCCACGGAGGCTTACACCTTTGCATGCCTCAAGACCAGAGTCCAGAGACAATGGAAACACTTGGACCCTGGCTTTGTCATGGGCTGGACAAGCTTAAGCAACTCTTTCTGGGCCTCCGGCCCTGCTCCCCCAAAACTAATATTTTGTACCTTGTTGCAGAACATTCCAACCCGGGACCGGCTAGAGGGCATGGCAGCCTTCAGGGAGAAGCGGCCCCCCAAATTTGTTGGTGAATGACCCCCATTTTAACCTTCAGCTTGGGAGATGCATGCCCTGAAGAGCAGGATCCAGAAGGAAGATTTGTGGCCGGACTGCCTTCATTATTTCACCTCTCCAGGCTTCCGTTTCTTCACAAGGATGATGATGGAGATAAAATGACTGGCGTGATGCCTAGAACCAAGGTGCTGATCCTACCACCTACTGCTGCCTTCCTTAGCTTCACCCTGGCTAGAAATAATCACGAGGGTTGGGTTTGCTTTGGAAAATGCCTGTCTCTCTACTTGAATGATAAAGAATTAAATTAGATCTCTCTGAGTCTTGGTCTCATTGGCTCTCAGCCCCTGACCTCTCTCAGTTATCAGGCACTCACTCACTAGAGCTGTACCTTAAAGATTTTAAGGTACCCCTAGTTTCTTCCTGTAGACAACAGAGGTAATAAATAAACTCTGACATTGGTTGAACATGTGTCAGGAGTCAAACTGCAGATCCCAGTCTCTGCCAGTTACTTGCTGTATAACCTCGGACAAATTGTTTAAACGCTCTGGGCCTCAGCTTCCTCACCCACAAAACAAAACTTGTGAAGATTCAGCAAAATAAAAACACTTCATAGTCAATAAATACATTTTAATTGTTAACTTACAGTGTTTTTGTGAGAACCAAATGAAATCATCACTGTGAAACCCTTTGTAAACTATAGGGCGGCAGAAAAATCTTTTTATTTTTTGAGACAGGGTCTCACTCTGCCACCCAGGCTCCAGGCTGGAGTGCCGTGGTGTGATCTCAGCTCACTGAAGCCTCCACTTCCCAGGCTCAAGTGATCCTCCCACCTCAGCCTCTGGAGTAGCTGGGACTATAGGCGTATACCACCATGCCCAGCTAATTTTTGTATTTTTTGTAGAGACGGGATTTCGCCATGTCCCCAGGCTGGTCTTGAACTACTAGGCTCAAGCAATTCACCCACCTAGGCCTCCAAAAGTGCTGGGATTACAGGTGTGTGCCACTACACCTAGCCTCCAGGAGACTCTTTCATAGCAGTTAGGAGCACTGAGAAGAAGGGGGCAACTAACTCTAATGGAAAGAAGGGAGGATCAGGAAATGGGCAAGTAACACTGGAATTGAAGCCTGAAGGATTAAGGAACATTTCAAGGACAGAAGAGGAAGTTTGACACAGCATGAGCAAAGGTGAGGAAGAGGTTGATACACTTAGAAAACCAAGAGCAGGCTGATACATAACCATACTGGTCCCAGTACCCCTCCCTCCTCTGGTACCAAGGCTACATCTTAAGCTATGGCCTTGCAGTCATCCTCCAACTGGATCTGAGCTCTGGCTAAGCTGAGCCTGGGCCTGGCCTAGAGTCACTAAACCATGGGCATGGATACAATGTAAATAACATTGCCGATTTCTGCAAAATACAAATGTGCTCCCAGGGTTATGCTTGCATCCTGGAAGGGAGAGTAACACAGGAGAGCCCAGGCCTTTACAGTCAGTACAAACCACACCAGCTATGACAACCCAGGAAACTCACCACCTTACTGAACTTCCTTTTTCTCATCTGTTAAGTGAGGAAAATAAAACTCACCTACCCATGAGGATTGTTGTGAATGACACAGAACTTGAAGGGATGTCTTGTACAGAACTGGACTTAACACACTGGTTCCCATAACACATCCTCACATCAGCATAAGCTAGCATCTGATAACAATGTTCTGAAGTGCTGGAACCCAGGTCAGGAAGATACCCTTTTGGAATCATGCAAGAGTGTGAAAAAATACAGTACAGTTTAAGGACTATGGAAGGAAGTAAGGTTACAAATTCTGCTTATCTGGTTGGACTCTGGTAATAGTTTGGAACATGGTTTAGAATAAGAATAAGCTTCTTCCTCATTTGAGGAACTAGAGTACCACCTTAAGAATCTGAACCAAGCCAGCTAAAAGCACAAAAATCTAGTCTTAAAATGTGCTAATCAACAAAACTTTACTTTTATTTTCTGAAAAACTTAGATAAATGACAAAACATGTTCATTAACAGTCAACAATAAGGCGAGGAAGGAATTCACACTCTATTCCTCAAAGCAGCTCCGCAGGGCTTATGAAACAAGCTTCTGATACAGTTTATACTGTAGTTGAAGCTGGTTTCAGAAAAGCTTCATGCTGGGTAAGAAAACTCGGTGAACTATTTGGCAAAGTCTCTTTCTGGCCTTTCCTCTTCTGCCAGTTTTGGTCATGGTCCCACCCAAATAAAATGGAGGGATTCAGATTTATCATTACATACAATCTTTCATCTAAACACTGTCTGCAAATGCGTAAGTCCCACCATGCCCTACAAGCTCACTCACATACACAGCATGTCATGTTTACATAACAGGAAACATGCCAAAGATAGACACCCAAAATTGTAAAAAAAAAAGAAAAAGAAAACCAAAAAAAAGGCCAGGTGCAGTGACTCACACCTGTAATCCCAGCACTTGTGGAAGCCAAGAAGGGCAGATCACGAGGTCAGGAGTTCGAGACCAGCCTGACCAATACGGTGAAACCCCGTCTCTACTAAAAAATGTAAAAATTAGCTGGACGTGATGGCATGTGCCTGTAGTCCCAGCTACTCAGGAGGCTGAGGCAGGAAAATTGCTGGAACCTGGGAGGCGGAGGTTGTAGTGAGCCGAGATAGAACCACTGCACTCCAGCCCGGGCGACACAGTGAGACTCCATCACACACACACACAAAAAAGTAAAATAATATATTTCTCTTTCCTCCACCCCTCTATTCTTTTGACATGAGGTCTCACTCTGTCATCCAGGATGGAGTGCAGTGGTGCAATCTTGGCTTACTGCAACCTCTGCCTCATGGGCTCAAGTAGTCCTCCCACCTCAGCCTCCAAGTAGCTAGGAGTAAAGGTGCACACCACCACGCCCAGCTAGTTTTTGTATTTTTTGGTAGAGACGGAGTTTCGCTATGTTGGCAAGGCTGATCTTGAACTCCTGAGGTCAGACAATCCACCCGCCATGGCCTCCCAAAGTGCTGGGATTACAGGCGTGAGCCACCACACCCAGCCACAGATAAATAAATAAATAAATAAATTCTTTTTCCCCCTCTCCAACAGGGGTTCTGCCTTCTAAACACCACATTGTCAAGCATATGCTTCCCATGCTTTTCTCATAGCTTCACATGACAATAACAACTAAGGAAATTTAATATAAATATCAAAGTCTCCCTGTAGGTCTTTCTTTTCTCTTCTAGGGGAACAGGTCCTGCTCCCATGACAAGCTCCCAAAGTGAAAAAATTGTCCAGGGCTAGAGAAAAGTAACTGGCATAGCTGTTCCAACACAAGCTCCCAGGTCTTCCCAGAGTCCACAGTTTGAGTCTTCAAAATTGCTGCTGAAAGGCTGCAGAATGAGTCCAACCTGACTTGGGATTATGGCTATCATACAAATCCAACCTTTTGTAACATATATAAAATCAACAATCAAAGGCCAATGAGACAGCCAACTCACAAACTCCAATGACAACTGATGTGCAATTACTGCCAGGGCAGAACACCGGACACTGAGGAAGAGTGCAGACCTCTTAGTCCCTTAGGTTCAGAAGGGCATTTGACACAGAGTGGGCCTCTGATAATTCATGAAATGCATTCTGAAGTCATTCAGAATGGAGGCTGCAATCTGCTGTGCTTGGGGAGTTGCCTCACTGTGCTCCTGGATATCACACAAAAGCTGCAATCCTTCTTCTTCAACTAACATTTTGCAGTATTTGCTGGCTGAAAGAAAATCAAGCAGAGACACTCCATGGACAACTGGCATTTTAAATATTCCCATGTCACCACATTCACCTTGCTGAAGAAAGAATACAAAGGTTTAAGTCCTTTGGTCTAGGAATTAACAGATAAAATGAGTCAATCAATTCTAAAGCAGTACGTCAAAACTTAAATAATGCTTGGCTTGTATGAGATAAGAGTTGCTCATTTTGGTATGTTTACTTCCAGAAAACTCTATCTTCAAGCTTTTTTTTTTTTTTTTTTTTTTTTTTGAGACAGAGTTTTGCTCTTGTTGCCCAGGCTGGAGTGTAGTGGCACAATCTCGGTTCACTGCAACCTCCACCTCCCAGGCTCAAGCAATTCTCCTGCCTCAGCCTCCCAAGTAGCTGAGATTATAGGCATGCGCCACCACACCTGGCTAATTTTTTTTGTATTTTTGATAGAGATGAGTTTCACCATGTTAGTCAGGCTGGTGTTGAACTCCTGACCTCAGGTGATCCACCCGCCTCGGCCTCCCAAAGTGTTGGGATTACAGGCGTGAGCCACTGCGCCTGGCCCAAATATCTTTAATCCTAGTTAAATGATGTTGAAAACACCAGATGTTAAATAAAATATAATTCATAAATGTTTTAATGCATAGATGAATGTACAAACTAAAGGAATGTTCCAGGAGCTGGAAACAAAGAGCACTTCAGCTAGTGTAAGCTAACCTGCAGCTAAGCCTGCGGCAGAAAGAAACTGGTGGTCTTAGTAATCGAGGCATTTAAATTTCAGCTTGCAGAGTTGGAGGCAAAATCCATACATAAAAGTAGACCCACAAAGGGCTAGATAAGAGAAGGGATAAGATACTGAAGCATCTCTGTCCTAGATGGGGCTGTAGGGGTATACGAGAGTAAGAGAGGAGAAATCTTCTCATGATCACAATCCCAAGTGGGTAATAAGGTTTGAATTTACACTACCTGAATGTTGCTGAGAAATTAATATAAAAAATCTAGCACAAGCCTAGGGAAACCTCTGGAGCACTTCACAGAAGCGAATACAAAACTGCCACAGGGACACGCCAATCCAGTCTAAAATGAATTCTCAGAAAAACAAGCCCTGATAAAGTTGATTTCATAATCCAAAACTGCCCCCACTCAACATAACACACATAATAAGATCAGAAAAAGACCACAAAATAATTACTTTTAAAGAAGAAAAAAATAGGAATATCTGAAAAAGAAGCAAATAAAACGTTCACACATTTAAAAATGTATCACTGAAATTAAAGACTTAGTCCAAGAGCAGATTCAGACCCAGTTGGCCAGGTGCGCTGGCTCACGCCTGTAATCCCAGCACTTTGGGAGGCTGAGGTGGGTGAATCACCTGAGGTCAGGAGTTTGAGACCAGCCTGGCCAACATGGTGAAGCCCCGTCTCTACTAAAAATACAAAAAAGTAGATGGGCATAGTGGTGGGCCTCTGTAATCCCAGCTACTCAGGAGGCTGAGGCAGGAGAGTCACTTGAACCCAGGAGGCAGAGGTTGCAGTGAGCTGAGATCATGCCACTACACTCCAGCCTGGGCAACAAGAGCGAAACTCTGTATCAAAAAAAAAAAAAAAAAAAAAAAAAGAAATAAAAGAAAAAGAAGACATAGTGGTTCATTCCTGTAATCCCAGCGCTTTAGGATACCTGGGCAGGAGGATCAAGGCAATGTAGTGAGACCATGTCTGTACAAAAAAATAAAAAAATAAGCTGGGTGTGATGCTACTTAGTCCCAGCTATCCAGGAGGCTGAAGTGGGAGAGTCACCTGAGCCCAGGAGGTTGAAGCTGCAGTGAGCTGTGACTGTGCCACTACACTCTAGCCTGGGCAACAGAGTGAGACCCTGTTTAAAAAAAAAAAAAAAGACAACAAAATTACCTATCAAGAAATGATAATTAGGCTGACAGTAGACCCCAACAGCAGTAGAAAATAATAAAAATGGCCAGGCGTCATGGCTCATGCCTGTAATCCCAGCACTCTGGGAGGCTGAGGCGAACATCTGAGGTTAGGAGTTTGAGACCCAGAATGGCCAAAATGGTGAAACCCCGTCTCTACTAAAAAAAAAATTAAAAATTAGCCGGGTGTAGTGGTGCATGCCTGTAGTCCCAGCTACTCAGGAGGCTGAGGTAGGAGAATCCCTTGAACATGTGAGGCAGAGATCCCACCACTGCACTCCAGTCTGGGCGACAGAGACTCTGTCTCAAAAAAAAAAAAAAAAAGAAAAAAAACTAAAAATATTTTTTCTCCCAAATGCTAAAATAAAGTATCTGGAATTCTACACCCAGTTATATTATTATTTAAGAGTAAGAATAGGGGTGGGGTGACAGATTTTGTCAGTAATACATCATCGAAACCTGAATCCAGAAAAGGAGTGGTAGGAGTTTTAAAAAAAAAAAAAAAGAAAGCAGGATGAGCAAAGAAAATGGTATTTAGCAAATTGAGGCCAGGCGTGGTGGCTCATGCCTGTAATCCCAGCACTTTGGGAGGCTGAGGCGGGCGGATCATAAGGTCAGGAGATGGAGACCGTCCTGGCTAACACAGTGAAACCCCGCCTCTAAAAAAATACAAAAAAATTTAGCTGAGCATGGTAGCGGGCACCTGTAGTCCCAGCTACTCAGGAGGCTGAGGCAGGAGAATGGCGTGAACCCGGGAGGCGGAGCTTGCAGTGAGCTGAGATTGCGCCACTGCACTCCAGCCTGGGTGACAGAGCAAGACTCCGCCTCAAAAAAAAAAAGAAAATTGTATTTAGCAAATTGAAATAAGCCTTGACTGTAAAACAGTAACAGCTAAACTATCTTTAAGGATATGAAAACAAGGTAGAAATGAAATATATTGATTAGTCATGTTCTTGGACAGAAATACTCATTTGTGGCTGGACGTGGTGGCTCATGCCTGTAATCCCAGCACTTTGGGAGGCTGAGGTAGGAGGATCACTCAAGCCCAGGAGTTCACAACCAGCCTGGGCAACATAGCAAGACCCTGTCGCTTTTTGTTTTGAAGTGTTTTTTTTTTTTAATTTAAAAGAAAAAAAAATTAAATACATTTTTCTAAAGAAATACTCATTTGTCATAGAGATGGGAATTCTCTTTAGGTTGACTTATAACTCTAACACGATGCTGATAAAAATACCGTAAGGGTTGCTGTTTTTGGGGAGAACCCCAGGCATGGTGGTGTACACCCGTAGTCCCAGCTATTTGGGAGGCTGAGGTGACAGCATCACCTGAGCTGAGACCGCAGTGAGCTGTGATCAAGCCACTGCACTTCAGCCTGGGCAATGAAGTGAGACCCTGTCTCAAAAATAAAATAAATAAAATGAAAATAAAATAAATTTTAAAAATAAAATAAGATGCTTACCCTTCTAATTGTTGTGAAGATTAAATGATTTATTCATGAAGTGCTTACAACATTGCCTGGCACATAATAAGTACTCAACTGAATTCCAGCTGCGGTTAGTTTCTCCTGTTATAACTGTCTGAGTCTGTTTCAGGGCTATTCTGATCCAGTCATCTGCTATCTATTCATATGTCAGAACCACTCATGGCACCATTTTACAATGTTAAGAGAAGTCTACAGGCAAGCTCCTAAAAACCACATTTCTTTCCTTCTTTTTTATCTTAGAGACAGGAGTCTTGCTCTGTTCCCCACGCTGGAAGTAGGCAGTTGCATGATCATGGCTTACTGTGGCCTTGAACTCCTGCACAAGTGATCCTCCTGTCTTGGCCTCCCAAAGTGCTGGGATTACAAGTGCAAGCCACCAGGCTGAGCCCATAAAAAACATTTTTCTGGCCAGGCACGGTGGCTCACGCCTGTAATTCCAACACTTTGGGAGGCCGAGGCGGGCAGATCACCTGAGGCCAGGAGTTCGAGACCAGCCTAGCGAACATGGTGAAACTCCATCTCTAACAAAAATATAAAACTTAGCCAGGTGTGGTGGTAGGCACCTGTTATCCCAGCTCTACTCGAGAGGCTGAGGCAGGAGAATTGCTTCAACCCAGGAGGCAGAGGTTGCAGTGAGCCAAGATAGCACCACTGCACTCCAGCCTGGGCAACAAGAGTGAAATTCTGTCTCAGAAACAAACAAACAAACAAACATTTTTCTTTGTTCTTTCCTGTTGATTCTGTCAGATAAACTTTAGAATAATTTTCAGATCCTCCATCTCCTACCTATTCATTTGAATTATATTACATTAATAAACTGAAAAGAAATGACATCTATATGTCTAATAGGTCATTCCATCTTAGAAAATGGAATGCTCTTATAATTATTTCAGGCTTTTAAATTATCTCATAGTTTTCTGCATATGTCTCATTACTTGTTAAAGGCATTTTAAAATATTTTATGTTTTTGTTAATAATGTGAGTGGTGGTATACTTTCCCTTAATTATATTTTCTGATTTTTGCTGGCATTATAAAACCATTGGTTTTTATATACTTGCTTTACAGCTAGTCAACAAGCTAAACTTTTAATTCTAAAAGTTGTTTCTTGGGTTTCCTGTTATAAAATAATAGCTTATATCTCCTATAATACAATGAAAAATTGTATACCAATTCTCAACAAAAGATATCAATGGGAAATTCTCAAAGGGGATTGTATTTTTTTAAGACAGAGTACAGTGGCACTCTCATAGATCACTGCAGCTTCGAACTGCTGAGCTTAAGGGGTACTTCCACCTTGGCTTCACGAGTAGCTGCGACTATAGGTGCATGCCACGCATACCTGGCTAATTTTTTTTTTTAATGTAAGAAACATAGGTGGGGTCTTGCTATGTTGCCTCAGCTAGTCTCAAACTCCTGGCCTCAAGCGATCTCCTGCCTCGGCCTCCCAAAGTGCTGTAATCTCAGCACTTTGGGAGACACCTCACCTGGCCTCAAAAGGGATTTTAAATGGCAAAACATGCGAAAAATATTTAATGTGTTTGGGAAATAACCCCTGACTCCTGGCCTCCCAATCTCCCATAGACCATTACACAGAGGCAGGTCCATGTTTTACTAAAGGAAGAGTGTCAGCAATAAACTGTCGAGTGAAAAGACCAAGCTATAGGACAGCATACACAGAATAAGCACATTTTGTTAAAAACTATTCACATACACAGCACATACTAAATAGAGCATGGATATAGAAAAGTATCTGGGAGATTATCAAATTATTAACGGTGCTTGTCTGTGGGGAATACAAGTAGGAGCAAACTTTTACCTTCTATTTTGCTTGCTATCTACCCTCAAATAGATTACTAATTCTGAAGCATTGTTTTAAGCTAGGTAAGGTCTTTTTTCAGTTTCTTTTTAAACATAGCTAAATGCAGAGGACAGAAGTAGACAATTTTTGCACATCCACCTTGAACTTAATCATTACACAGAAAAATAGCTGGAAAACGATTATGTTTTGAACTTATGTTGAATACATACGATTTTTACTGCAGACATGACACACAGCCCATAGTGCCCAGAGCTGAACCGCTGGTTGAGAGAAGTTGCCTAGGAGTGGGAAAAATGTCTTGAGAGATCTGAAACAAAAAAAAGTACAAAGATGTTAATCCAGAATTCAGGCCAGTGTTCAGGGATATAATAATTTATACTATATAATTAATATAATAATGTATATAATTTTCATGGCCAGGCACAGTGGCTCACGCCTGTAATCACAGCACTTTGGGAGGCCAAGGCAGGTGAATCACTTGAGCTCAGGAATTCAGGACCAGCCTGGGCAACAAACAAACAAACGAAAAAATCAGCTGGCCCTGGTGGCCCACGCCTGTGGTGCCAACTGGGAGGATTCTCAAGTGGGAGGATCACTTGAGCCTGGGAAGTCAAGGCTGCATTGAGATGTGATCCTGCCACTGCATTCCAGCTCCAGCCTGGGCAACAGAGCAAGACCCTGTCTCAAAGGGTTGAAAAAAAAAGAATTTTCTTTTTTTTTTTTTTTTGAGACGGAGTCTCGCTCTGTCGCCCAGGCTGGAGTGCAGTGGTGCAATCTCGGCTCACTGCAAGCTCCGCCTCTCAGGTTCACGCCATTCTCCTGCCTCAGCCTCCAGAGTAGCTGGGACTACAGGCACCCGCCACCACGCCCGGCTAATTTTTTGTGTTTTTAGTAGAGACGGGGTTTCACCATGGTCTTGAACTTCTGACCTTGTGATCCGCCCGCCTCGGCCTCCCAAAGTGCTGGGATTACAGGCGGGAGCCACCGCGCCCGGCCTAAAAAAAAGAATTTTCAACATTTTCCCCACAGGGTCAACTCCTCCCTGTGACCGAGCATACAATGAAGCTATTATTTAAGAAACTGCATTCTGTACTGGACACTTTATACGTTCAATATCTCACTGCATCCTCAATCTTACACGCTGTCAGCCTCATTTTACAGACAAAGAAAACTGACTTTCTAGAAATGACTTTCCCAGTATCACAGAGAAATAGGATTTGAACATAAGGCTAACTGACTCTAACATGTCATCACTGTATCACTGAGTACAGCCTTTAAGAAAAGCACAACATTGGGCCAGGCATGGTGGCTCACACCTGTAATCCCAGCACTTTGGAAGGCCGAGGCGGGCAGATCATGAGGTCAGGAGACCGAGACCATCCTGGCTAACATAGTGAAATCCCATCTCTACTAAAAATATAAAAAATTAGCCGGGCGTGGTGGCAGATGCCTGTAGTCTCAGCTACTTGGGAGGCTGAGGCAGGAGAATGGCGTGAACCCAGGAGGCAGAGCTTCCAGTGAGCCAAGATCGCCCCACTGTACTCCAGCCTGAGGAACAGAGAGAGACTCCGTCTCAAAAAAAAAAAAAGAGAGAAGAAAAAGAAAAGCACAACATCATGAAATTACCTATAGGTCACCAATGCTGTCATCTTACAACTTGAACTTGGCCAATTCTGGATGGCTGCATGCTACTCCAAAAACAAGAGAGAGAAACCAAGATTTGAATAATTCACCATTTACGACAAAATTTTTCAAAATCTGGGAATGACTGAACAAATTTAGATACACCTACTTGGCAAAATATCAATCACATAACAATTATATACACAGAGTATCTTAACAGTGTAGGAAAAACTATAAGAACAAGGGGCATCTGTTTAAAGATACTGGACTGAGCACACATTTATACCTCTACTCCCTCCATAATCCCATTAACAGAAAGTAAAACAAAGAACGATGCACATGGAAAAATGGTAACTGATTTAATACCTAGCACTTGGAAAGGTTAAAACACAAACCAGGCTGGACACAGTGGCTCATGCCTGTAATCCCAGCACTTTGGGAGTAGAGGTCTCTACTAAAAAAAAAAAAAAAAAAAAAAAAATTAGCCGGGCGCGGTGGCAGGTGCCTGTAGTCCCAGTTACTAGGGAGGCTGAGGCAGGAGAATGGCGTGAACCCCGGGGGTGGAGCTTGCAGTGAGCCAAGATCGCACCACTGCACTCCAGCCTGGGTGACAGAGCAAGACTCTGTCTCAAAACAAAACAAAACAAAACAAAAAACACAAACCAATTTGAAGAGAACCCCTAAGAGACTTAAAAATTTGGCATATGAGGTACTTCCTCAAGTGAAATTACAGGTCGGGTTGAAAACAGGAGGACTGGGCCAGGCATGGTGGCTCATGCCTGTAATCTCAGCACTTTGGGAGGCCAAGGTGGGTAGACCACCTGGGGTCAGGAGTTCGAGACCGCCCTGGGAAACATGGTGAAACCCTGTCTCTACTAAAAAAAATAAAAATTAGCGGGGTATGGTAGCGTGTGCCTGTAATCCCAGCTACTCGGGAGACTGAGGCAGGAGAATCGCTTGAAGCTGGGAGGCGGAGGTTGCAGTGAGCCGAGACGGCGCCACTGCACTGCACTGCACTGCAGCCTGGGCGACAGAGTAAGACTCCATCTTGGGGAAAAAAAAAAGAAAGAAAAAGAAAATAGGAAGACAGGTTCAAAGGATTAGGACTCCCAGATTTCTTCCATGATCCTTAATAAAAACATCTGGACTGGGCAACCGCATAAACAATTCAGGGTGGGAACACCATGCTAAAAACAGGGATGTGTCTGGAGTTAAAATCTAAATACTAAATGTTGAGATTCCCTGCCCCTCAACTCTCTTCTTTTACTAGGCTTTCAGACTATTGGCAATGAAGCTTATAATGTTTTTTTTTTTTTTTTGGAAGATGAAATTTCACTCTTATTGCCCAGGCTCGAGTGCGATGGCACGATCTCGGCTCACTGCAACCTCTGCTTCCCGAGTTCAAGCAATTATCCTGTCTCACCCTCCAAAGTAGCTGGGATTACAGGTGCCCATCACCATGGCTGGCTATACATATATTTTTAAAATTTTATTTATTGGCCAGGCGTGGTGGCTCACTCCTGTAATCCCAGCACTTTGGGATGCCGAGGCAGGCAGATCACCTGAGGTCAGGAGTTCGAGACCAGCCTGGCCAACATGGTGAAACTCCATCTCTACTAAAAATACAAAATTAGCTGGGCATGGTGGTGCGTGCCTATAGTCCCAGCTACTTGGGAAGCTGAGGCAAGAGAATCGCTTAACCTGGGAGCCGGAGGTTGCAGTGAGCTGAGACTGCGCCACTGCATTCCAGCCTGGGTGACAAGAGTGAGACTCCGTCTCAAAAACAAAAAATTATTTATTTTATTTATTCATTTATTTATTTTGGGGACAGAGTCTCGCTCTGCCACCCAGGCTGGAGTACAGTGGCATGATCCCTGCTTACTGATGCCTTGGTCTCCCGGGTTCAAGCAATTCTGCCTCAGCCTCCCGAGTAGCTGAGATTATAGGCATGCACTAACATGCCCAGCTATTTTCTGTATTTTTAGAGGAGACGGGGTTTCACCATGATGGCCAGGCTGGTCTCAAACTCCTGACCTCAGGTGATCCACCCGCCTTGGCCTCCCAGCATGCTGGGATTACAGGCATGATCCACCGTACCCAGCCAAGCTTATAATTTGCACATAAAAGAATAGAAGTTTCTTCTCTAGGTAAGTTCCAACCAGTTTAGGACAAAAGATCTAAAAACACTACCACCAGGGAACACCTATTAAAAGATCAAATCTAGGCCAGGCGTGGTGGCTCATGCCTATAATCCCAGCACTATGAGGGCTGAGGTGGGTGGATCACCTGAAGTCAGGAGTTTGAGACAAGCCTGACTAACATGGTGAAACCCCATCTCGACTAAAAAATATATATATACACATATATATACACACACACACACACACACACATATATATATAAATTAGCCAGGCGTGGTGGCAGGCACCTGTAACCCCAGCTACTCGGGAGGCAGAGGGACTCCTTGAACCCAGGAGGCAGAGGTGGCAGTGAGCTATGATTGTGCCATTGCACTCTAGCCTGGGCGACAGAGTCAGACACATTCTACCTGTCTGTAGTTTTCAATCAGTCCCACTCATAACTGTCCCCACGGACAGCTCAGGACCACCATAACTTTAAGAAAATCTCTAACACAAAGGAACAAAATAAACAGCAAAAAAAAAAAAAAAAAAAGCAACTTGCAGGAAACAGAAGCCTTGGAGGAACAGGAAAACTTAAAAATTAGGCTGGGCATGATGGCTCCTGCGTGTAATCCCAGCACTTTTGGAGGCCGAGGTGGGCAGATCCCTTGAGGTCAGGAGTTTGCAACTAGCCTGGCCAAAATAGTGAAACCTTGTCACTACTAAAAATTAAAAAGTTAGCCAGGTGTGGTGGCGCAGCTGTAGTCCAGCGACTTGGGAAGCTGAGGTGGGAGGATCACTTGAACCCAAGAGGTGGAGGATGCAATGAGCTGAGATCACACCACTGCACTCCAGCCTGGGCAACAGCCGAGACTCCATCTCAAAAAAAAAAAAAATCTTTTTTTTTTTTAAATTGGTCGGGCATGGTGGCTCACACCTGTAATCCTAGCACTTCAGGAGGCCAAGGCAGGTGGATCACTTGAGGTCAGTTCTAGACCAGCTTGGCCAACATGGTGAAATCATCTCTACTAAAAACACAACAATTATTGTGTTTTTACAAGTGTGCATTACCACACCTGTAATCCCAGCTACTTGGGAGGCTGAGACAGGAGAATCACTTGAACCCAGGAGGCAGAGGTTGCAGTGAGCTGAGATTGCGCCACTGCACTCCAACCTGGACAACAGAGTCAGAGCCTGTCTCAAAAAAATAAAATAAAAATGTAAATTATCATTATTATGTTGAAAGAGAGGATATTATATTTTTAGAAGAGGATTCAGAACAAAAAAGATAAATGAGATAGATATGAAAAGATGAGTCTGGGAAGGCCAACATTCCAGAAAAAAATGATTAAAGAAATGTCCCAGGGAGGAAATGAGCTTCCTGACTGATAAGTACCCAACACAATATATGAAAATAAACCCACAAAAAATAAAAAAAATTAACAAAAAATAAAAAAATCAAAATAAACCCACAAGGCAAGCCATTGTGATTTCTGAATACAGAGGACAAAGGACAAAAATCTTAAAGCTTAAAAAAAAAATTGCACAGGAGTTCTCAACAGTGATCCTGACAAGTAAAAGACAATAGAGCAAACATTTTTAAATTCTGAAGGAAAAATATTTCAAAGCTAGAATTCTATACCCAGCCATTTGATCAATTAAATGTGAGGGTAAAATAAAGGCCTTTTTAAACAGGTATGGTCTCATTTTCATGACTCTCTTCTTAGGAAGCTACTGGAGAATATGATCCAACAAAAGGTGGGAGTAAACCAAGATACAGGGAGGCACATAAGCCAGGAAACACGGAATCCAACACAAGAGAGGCAAAGGGGGTCCCCAGGGATGATAGTAAAGGAATATCCGAGGATGACAGCAGTTCACCATATACGGTATAGAAAACAAGCAGACCACATGGGAGGAACTCAAAGGCTCTGGGAAAGAAAATCCTGAGTAGGTGAAGTGTACAGAATATGTATGAAGATTTATACCTTGAGCACACACTTAGATAGGCTGTGCATAGAAACAGTAAGAAAAAGAATCTTAGTTTCCCAAAGTGGGAAAATGAATTGATAGATTCCTAAAGCGATAAAGTCAAGAACAGCGCATGATATGTTATTTAGAAATAAGGAAGTTGGCTAGGCGCGATGGCTTATGCCTGTATTCCCAGCACTTTGGAAGGCTGAGGTAGGCAGATCGCTTGAGCTCAGGAGTTTCAGAACAGCCTGACCAACATGGCAAAACCCCATCTACAAAAAATACAAAAGTTAGCTGGTTGTGGTGGCACACACCTGTAGTCCCAGCTATTTGGGACATTGAGGTGGGAGGACCACCTAAGCCTCGGAGGTTGAGGCTGCAGTGAGCTGTGAATTGTGCCACTGAGCTCCACCCTGGGAGACAGACCCTGTCTCAAAAAAAAAAAAAAACAACAACAAAATAAATAATTTTTTTAAAAAGCTGATGGGAAAGAGGACTGAAATAAGTCATATGCAACAAAATGTTAACAGAGATAGTTTTGGGTGGAAATATATGGGTTAGTAATAAGTTTTTCCATATTTTTCCCACTTTTTTTTTTCCTGAGACAGTGTCTCGCTCTGTCGCCCAGGCTGGAGTGCAGTGGCTCGATCTCAGCTCACCACAAGCTCCGCCTCCCGGGTTCACGCCATTCTCCTGCCTCAGCCTCTCAAGTAGCTGGGACTACAGGCGCCTGACACCACGCCCGGCTAATTTTTTGTATTTTTAGTAGAGATGGGGTTTCACCGCGTTAGCCAGGATGGTCTCCATCTCCTGACCTTGTGATCTGCCTGCCTCGGCCTCCCAAAGTGCTGGGATCACAGGCATGAGCCACCGCGCCTGGCCTATTTTTCCCACTTTCTACAATCATATTATTATTATTTTAAAACTACATTTTCTGTAATTAGAGATTACTCTGGATTTTGTAAAGAAGAACGTGGTTCCTGTACCAGATCTTGGAGAAGAGCACGCCTCTGGAAGTCACGGGATATCCAAAGCTGTCTGTCAGATGTCAGGTGGGCTATGATACCTGCAGCAAAATAGCTGACTTCCATTTCCCTGCTACAGAGTAAACTGTTGATATGCTTCAGCGCATCTTCGGTCACCAGCTTGGAAGAGAGCTCTCTGATTTCTGCTACATTGTTCTACAGGTCAGATGGAGCAGAGAACCCCAGAGACAAGAAGGGAGGGGAGAATCAGGAATTGGCTTTTTTCACTTTCCTGCTTCTCAGGTCAGATACATCCAGAACACTTACTCCTGTACCCACCTCCGCCTCAAGCTAGCCTAAAGCCCACAATCCAACTCCCTTGATGAGGATGATCATTAACAACAGTCACTAAATAGGTACTTACTAAGTGCCAGGCACAGTACTAGATAAACAATTGTCTTTTTATCTATCTTATCTCATTTAATCTTTAAAATACTACTACAAAGAAATGTGACACTAAGCATGACAAACTTGTCACGTTCACACTGCTAATAACTGGATGAACTAGAGTACAAATCAAGGCCTAACTCAAATACTTAACATTACTGAAGGTCTGCTCAAGGTTACGTTATCTCTTAATAATAACAATGAAAGTCAGGCAGTATTTTCTTTATTTTATATGTTACACTAATTTTCTATGCTGTGCAACAAACTACCACAAACTTAGTGGCGTAAAACAATATGCATTTATGATTCCCTGGTTTCTGTGGGGCAGGAGTCTTGGCATGACTTAGCTAGACCCCCTTCTCTGAGATCTCACAGGGCTGCAATCAAAGTGCTGGCTGGGCTGCATTTTCACCTGGAGGCTCCACTGGGGGAGAGTTTACTGCCAGCCTCACTCAGACTGCTGGCAGAATTCACTTCTGGTGGCTGCAGGACTGAGTGATTCAGTTTCTTGCTGGAGGCCACGTTCAGCTCCTAGAAGCTGCCCCAAGTTCCTTAAACTGTGGGTTCCTCCCTCCTCCAACCACTTACTTCATGACTGCTCCGTCAGGGCCACAGAGAAAGAGTCCCTACAGTGGGCCTGCTAGCAGGACAGATTACATATATATAAGTATATAGCAACGTAATCATGGGAATGATATCTTATCATCTCTGCCATATTCCCTTGGCTAGAATCAAGAAACAGGTCCTGCCCACACTCAAGGGTAGGGGATGTCAGTCTCAGGAGGCTGGAATCACTGGGAGAATCTGTCTACAAAAATGAAAAAACCAAAGGTTTAATGAGGTGAAACAGTAAAAGTAAACACAGCAGTTTGTGTTAGTGTTAACTGCTGCTTCTGATGAACCATTCAGGAAAGCACACCCTAGACACGACTATATTGAGGCACATAGGACGCTAAAGATTGAAGCAGATATCGAGATGTCCCCCCTACACCTGTTTTTCCCAAGACCAGCTATATCCCTCATCAACGCATAATTTCAGTGTTAAGTCTACCATGTTACCCCCTAACAAGACATTCTTAGCACAACTGACAGGGACACCACAGGTGAGTCCCAAGATTTTTCTTGTAAATCCTCACACTCTGGATCTCTCAAAAGAAAGAAAGAAAGAAAGTGGGCTGGGTGTGGTGGGTCACACCTGTAATCCCAGCACTTTGGGAGGCCGAGGCAGGCAGATCACGAGATCAAGAGATTGAGACCATCCTGGCCTCTCTTTTAGTAGAGACAGTGAAACCCTGTCTCTACTAAAAAAATACAAAAATCAGCCGGGCGTAGTGGTGCATGCCTGTAATCCCAGCTACTCGGGAGGCTGAGGTGGGAGAATCACTTGAACCCTGGAGGCAGAGGTTGCAATGAGCCAAGATCGCACCACTGCACTCCAGCCTGGGTGACAAGAGCAAGACAAAAAAGAAAAAAAAAAAGAAAAGTGGACAATCTTTTAGGTCAGCTAGTAGAATAGGTAGAATTGTTTAGGATATATGAGGCATCAATCCAACTTTCTGGCATTATTTCCCATTCCTTTTCACCTTCCTACTTTTTCCCCAAATTCTAACCATTCCATTTTACAGTGTTCCTCAATGATTACACTTATTTATTACATTACAAATAATCTTCCCTAGCCAAAAATGACTTTGTCCCTTCTTTATACTTTTCCGTACCTTCCAGATTTCCAGTATTAATCATTTATTCCTCTCTGTGAGGCCTTTCACATCTACTTTGTTGTGAGTCCTGTATGTGTGAGATACATGAAGATAAGGCACAGTCAGTCCCTCCATGAGTTCAGAACCAAGGCTCCCAATGGACTCAGTGCCTCTCTTGCAGCACTCACTTGTCAGTCGTAAATCAGACACCTATTTGTACACATGTCTAACACTGCCTTCCCAAAGTTATGAGCACCATCACCTTGACATATTTCATGCATCTGTGTCTTTCCAATGCATACGGCATGGCAAAGTGAAGGTCCTTACTATATGTCTTTATTACTTATTGAAAAATCTTCACCTTTAGCTTTAGGAAACAAACAAATGTCTCAATTGTAGAATACCTTGATTAAGAGGCAGTATATAAGTATCAACAGAGAAATTGCTAAAAAAATGACTGCCTGGATAAAGTAGTATAGTAAACTGATTAGTATCAGAGGGTCTGGAGCCAGACTGCCTGAGTGTTGTTTTTTTTTTGTTTGAGCAGAGTTTCATTCTTGTTGCCCAGGCTGGAGTACAGTGGCACGATCTTGGTTCACCTCAACCTCTACCTCCCAGGTTCAAGCGATTCTCCTGCCTCAGCCTCCCAAGTAGCTGGGATTACAGGCATGTGCTACCATGCCCAGCTAATTTTTGTATTTATTTTTAGTAGAGATAGGGTTTCGCCTTGTTGGCCAGGCTGGTCTTTAACTCCTGACCTCAGGTGATCCACCCACTTCGGCCTCCCAAAGTGCTGGGGTTACAGGCATGAGCCACTGTGCCCGGCCGAATTTGAGTTCTAATTAGGATAAACTGCATTTCTGAGACTCAGATTCTCTATGAAACGTGGATAACAGTGTATGGTAGAATACAAAAATAACACAACTTTTCCTATCCCTGTATATAATCCCCATAGCAATGTGACTTTACTGCCTTTAATCTGGGTTTAAATATATAATCTGTGTTGTCCTATGAAACATTAGCAAGGTGACATAAAAGCAGAGGTTTAAAAAGCAGTTGGACAGTGGGGCCTGCCCTCTGAGACTGCCACGTGGAGAAGCCCGTGGACAAAAAGCCTGCCGGCTGGTAAGCAGCCCCAACTGTCAGACATGAGAGTCAGGTCTTCTTAGACCCTCCAGCCCCAGTCAAGCTACCAGATGACTGCAGTTACATAAGTGATCCCACACGAGACTAGACAGACCAGAAGAACTTTACAGCTGAGCTAAGCTCAAACTACTGACCCACAGATTCATAAGTAAATTAAACGGCTACTGTTTTAAGCCACTAAGCTATAGTTTGTTCACAACAATAGATAACTGACACACAATGGTATTTACTCTGTACGGCTAATGTAAAGACTAAATGAGTTTATACATGTAAATTGCTTACAATAGTGCCTAGCATACAGTAGGTACTATATAAGTGTCAGGTTTTATTTTCAAGTAATTAAAATTAATTCAAAACAATTCACCTTACCAAAAGACCAAGTACTTTGCTTTGTATTGCTGACTCTGAAAAGGTCTGTCAAAAAAATATATATATACAGGTTACTTTATCATGAAGAAAAGAACTTTACATATAAACTCAATCCTGTCTTCCCACCTCCAAGACTTGGATGAAGATTTCCAATCCTTGATTTTCAATAAAGTGCTTGCAGGCAGCTGGAGACCCATCTGTAAGATTCCAAAGTGCTTTCAAAGTAAACAAGAGGGTGACATCATCTAAATTCTCAGTAGTCTTTTGTTTTACTATTGCTAGAAGTTCCTAAAAACCAAAGAGACAGGGAGTTAGATGCTGTAATGAATAATCAATTGCAGTATAAAGAAAGCAATGTTAAGATGCATCAAACCTCGGTTCTAAACCCAAGTTCTGCCACTTAGTAGCTTTGTGATCTATTTTCTTTCTATAAAATAAATTACAACTACTTTTTACAGTTTTTGTGAAGATTAAATGAAAAAAATTTAAGTTTAGTGAGCACTTAGTCCAGTTCTTGGTATATGGTCATTAAGTTCATAATCAAGTACATTATTAGCTATTCCATTATTTTTATTTAGAACACTTAGTCAACACCTTCTTTAAACCAAGTACAAAAAAAAAAGTGGGCCGGGCGCAGTGGCTCACGCCTGTAATCCCAGCACTTTGGGAGGCTGAGGCGGGCGGATCACGAGGTCAGGAGATCGAGACCATCCTGGCTAACACTGTGAAACCCCATCTCTACTAAAAACACAAAAAAATTAGCCGGGCATGGTGGCGGGCGCCTGTAGTCCCAGCTACATGGGAGGCTGAGGCAGGAGAATGGCGTGAACCCAGGAGGCAGAGCTTGCAGTGAGCCAAGATCCCGCTACTGCACTCTAGCCAGGGCAACAGAGCGAGACTCCGTCTCAAAAAAAAAAAAAAAAAAAGTTGGGGGGGTAGAAGTCAGACCAAAAAAAGTTGACTTTTTAAAATTAAATAAAAGAATTGTAAATTTTGGTTAATTATCTGATGGAAACACATAAAAGCCTAAAATTTAGGCTTTAGGAAGGGTGGGAGAAGGGAGCCTCCATACAAAAATAATATGTAACTGAGACCAGAAGAAAAACAGGATAAACCAGCCCAATAAGAAATGGGGACAGGCAGGAATGGGGCTCGGGGGAGAGGGGAGGAAGCACATGCCAGGCAAAGTTTGGGGCAGGAAAGTCTGCTGCTCTAAGCCACTGAGCAGGTCAGTGGGGCTAGAACACCAGGACAGCGTTCCATCACATGACCTCACCTCTTGAAGAGGCCACTGGTTCACTTTAACAGACTGCAAAGTACCATTTGAGATCAACATTTCTAGAAAGAAGTCAAGCTAGTATTTACAGTCTCTTTCAATATCAGACTGTCATGCGAGAGGAAAAAGACAATTTTCACTTTAACCAGCTGATGAAAAGATACATAAAATATAACAAAGCACCAAACAAATCAGAATGTGTATTTTCAAGAAGAATGAGACCACCTCAAATATTCTGCCCAATCAGTTGAGAATGTGTCAAGAGACTTCATCACAAAAATAAATCTGTGAAAGTCAAGAGGAGAAGAAAAGAGTGGCAGATGAGACGAGTGCACTCACCTAGGCAGTTAGTTAGATGAATGAGAGCAAGACCAGGAGCCGGGGAAGTGAGCCTGTCCCTGAGCGTATCACAGTGGCCAGGCCCTTGATCACACAATTTAGCTTAATGATACTCAAAATTAACTATGTACTGTTACTACTATGACAGATGTCATTTTTTCAACTGAGACCCATTTTCCAGATGAAAAATCTAAGACACAGAGGAGACTTATCCGTTGTCATATGACAAGTGCCCAGCCTGCTCGCTTTATCTGTACCTTATCTAGTCCCGTTACCCCTCCCAGCAACTTTATGTTCCTGGGATATGTTCCTCCATAACATTATATGGCAAAACTCCTACCTGAGTTAAACGTAACTATCAGTTACTTCAGACCTCCCAACATTCAACATATTAATGTTGAAAAAGACTGAGTTCACCTGGTCTCAATTTCAACATCTGCTCATAAATTTCAAAAGAGCACTTAACTGTATTTGTCAGTACTACTTTATTTCCTAATGAATTTTCTCCAAAGACTACTACTACTACTCTCTCCTCGAACTTGAATCACCATCTTCTCACTCCCCTCATTTGATTTCTTCATCTTCTTTCTCATTGAGAAATACACCCACTCTTCCTAACAAAAGCTACCAACCTACTTGCACTTGCATCAACATACTCTGCCTTCCCTTCTGCTCCAATCTAAAGCCAACATCTTTACTTTTACTCTAAACCCAATTTCTGCACATACAGAGATTCAGCACCAAAATTATTTCCTTTTATTTTGCTTGTGGCACCAACTTCTCCCTCTTTAGAACTCTTCTCATGGGCACAAAATATATCTTAATGTAGTCGATCTTTTTAAAGACTGACCCCACCTCTGCTTTCCCTCTCATTAAATTATATCAAAAAGTTACATCCATTTCTCACCTCCCATTTGCTATTCCATCCTACTCCAATCAGGTTTTGGCCTACCACCCCACTGAAATAAGCAAGTTGACTAATGACTTCCTCTCACCAAATCCAATGGTCAACTCTGTCCTCATGTCACTCCACCACTCAGTAGTATTTGATATAATGGCCCAATTTTTCCTGAAACATTCCTCTTGGATTCTAAAACACCCTCTCTCGGTTTTGCTTCTATTGCACTTTGGATGCTCCTTCTCAATCTCCTTTTCTTGTTCATCCTTCCCCCCCAATCCCCCCCAATAAACAGGCGCATCTAGGAGAGACTGTGGGTTCAATTCCAGACTACCACAATAAAATAACAAATAATAAGTTACACAAATTTGTTTTCCCACTGCATACAAAAGCTATATTTATACTATAATGTAGTCTGCTAAGTGTGCAATAGCACTATGTCTAAAAAACAATGTGGATACCCTTTTTATTGAGACAGTCTCACTGTGTTGCCAAGGCTGGAGTATAGTGGCATGATCTCAGCTCACTTCAATATCCACCTCCTGGGTTCAAGGGATTCTCCTGCCTCAGCCTCCCAAGTAGCTGAGATTACAGGCTCGTGCCACCACACTCGACTAGTTTTTGTATTTTTAGTAGAGATGGGGTTTCGCCATGTTGGCCAGGCTGGTCTCAAACTCCTGACTTCACGTGATCCGCCCGCCTCAGCCTCCTAAGGTGCTGGGCTTACAGCATGAGCCACCACACCCAGCCCAATGTAGATACTTTAATTTAAAAATATTTTATGGCTGGGCGCAGCAGCTCATGCCTTTAATCATAGCACTTTGGGAGGCAGTGGCAGGAGAATCGCTTAAGCCCAGGAGCTCCAGACCAACCTGAGTGACACGGCTAGACCCTGTCTCTATCAAAAAAAAAAATGTAAAATTTTATCTATGCACCAGTGGCCCTACCTACTCAGGAGGCTGAGGCAGGAAGATCACTTGAGCCTAGGAGGTCGAAGCTGCAGTTGAGATGTGTCCCCACCACTGCACTCCAGCCTGGGTAACAGACTCTACCTTAAAAAATATGTATATATATAGATTAAAAATGCTAAATCACCTAAGCCTTCAGGAAGTGGTAATCTCTTTGCTGGTGGAGGGGTCTTGCCTCAATGTTGATGGCTGCTGACTGATCAAGGTGATGGCTGCTGGCAATTTCTTAAGATAGCAATGATGTTTGCCCCATCAATTGACCCTTCAAGAAAGAACTTCTCTTTTTTTTTTTTTTTTTTTAAGACAAAGTTTCGCTCTTGTTGCCCAGGATGGAGTGCAGTGGCACGATCTCGGCTCACTGCAACCTCTGCCTCCTGGGTTCAAGTGATTCTCCTGCCTCAGCCTCCTGAGTAGCTGGGACTACAGGCACATGCTACCACGCCTGGCTAAATTTTGTAGTAGAGACAGGGTTTCACTATGTTGGCCAGGCTGGTCTCAATTTCTTGACCTCGTGATCCGCCCTCCTCGGCCTCCCAAAGTGCTGGGATTACAGGCATGAACCACCATGTAACTTCTTTCAAATTTGGAGTCAATCCTCTCAAACTCTGCTGCTGTCTCATCCAACTAGGTTGTTTTTTTTTTTTTTTTTGAGACGGAGTCTCGCTTTTTTTTAAGTTGTGTTACAAAAATAACACAACTTTTCCTATCTCTGTATATACTCCCCATAGCAATGTGACTTTACTGCCTTTAATCTGGGTTTAAATATATAATCTGTGTTGTCCTATGAAACATTAGCAAGGTGACATAAGCAGAGGTTTAAAAAGCAGTTGGACAGTGGGGCCTGCCCTCTGAGACTGCCACGTGGAGAAGCCCGTGGACAAAAAGCCTGCCGGCTGGTAAGCAGCCCCAACTGTCAGACATGAGAGTCAGGCCTTCTTAGACCCTCCAGACCCAGTATTTTTTAAAATACTTCATGATGGAGGGAAATACTTTGCAGTGTGCCATCAATCCCAGATGCACAATAAAAGAGAACAAATTCAACTACATGAAAATAAAAAAGTACTGCATCATAAAACATCCCATAAATGAATTAAAAATAAACAGTAAAATGGGTGGGAGAAAATACATGCATTCTAATATCATAGTCAAAGGCTTATTTCCTTAATGTGTAAAAAAAATCCTGTAAAGTAGAAAAAAGCCACAGACAGTTTACAAAAACATTAAATGATTCAGCTGGGCATGGTGGCTTACTCCTGTAATCCCAGCACTTTGCGAGGTGGGCAGATCGCAAGGTCAGTTGGAGACCAGCCTGACCAACATAGTGAAACCCCATCTCTACTAAAAATATAAAAATCAGCCAGCGTGGTGGTGTGCTCCTGTAATTCCAGCTACTCAGGAGGCTGAGGCAGGAGAATCGCTTGAACCCGGGAGGAAGAGGTTGCAGTGAGCTGAGATTGCACCACTACATTCCAGATTGGGCGACAGAGTGAGACTCCATCTCAAAAATAAATATATAAATAAATAACTCTTGAGGAAAAAGAAAAAAAGGCCAGTTGTGGTGGCTCAAACCTGTAATCCCAGCACTTTGGGAGGCCAAGGTAGGAGAACCACTTGAGTCCAGGAATTTAAGACCAGCCTGGGCAACACAGCAAGACATCATCTCTACAAGTAACTAAAAGAAATATATATATATATATATGCCGGTCATTTGGTGGCATGCACCTGTGTCCCCAACTACTTGGGAGGCTAAGGTGGGAGGATCACTTGAGTCCAGGAAGTCGAGGCTGCAGTGAGCCATCATCATGCCACTGCACTCCAGCCTGGGCTACAAAGAGAGACCATATGGCTCAAAAAAAAAAAAAAAAAGGTGGCTCAAATGCCATTTAAAAAAGTACAAAAATATGCTGAGACATTAATGATAAAAATTCATATAACAGGCTGAGCGTGGCAGCTCACACCTGTAAACCCAGCACTCTGGAAAGCTGAGTTGGGTGGATCACTTGAGGTCACAAGTTCAAGAACAGCCTGACCAACACAGTTAAACCCTGTCTCTACAAAAAATACAAAATTAGCCAGGCGTGGTGGCACATGCCTGTAATCCCAGCTATTTGGGAGGCTGAGGCAGAAATGCTTGAACCCAGAAGGCAGAGATTACAGTAAGCCGAGATCGTGCCATTGCACACTAGCCTGAGCAACAAGAGGAAAAAAATTCATATAATAAAAATAAAAAGTACAGAATAAAACAAAGTTTTTTTTTTAATTTTTTTTTGAGACAGTCTTCCTCTGTCACCAGGCTGGAGTGCACCTGTACGATCTCAGGTCACTGCAACCTCCACCTCCTGGGTTCAAACAATTCTCGTGCCTCAGTCTCCCACGTAGCTGGGATTACAGGCATGCACCACCACAACCATCTAATTTTTATATTTTTGTATTTTTAGTAGAGAGGGGGTTTCACCACATTGTCCAAGATGGTCTTGATCTCCTGACTTGTGATCCACCCGCCTCAGCCTCCCAAAGTGCTGGGAATACAGGCGTGAGCCACCACGCCCGGCCAAATGATATAAATTTTTTAGTGAACGATGTTAACATAATCATAACATAAATACTGATTAATGATTTATTTTAAATTGTGATATAAATTTGTTGGGGACTGGAGGAGGAAGTAATTTGTAGAAAGACATGTAGGAGAGCTAAGTTCTTACCTACCGTAGTAGTAGCAAAATCAGTAACACCTAAAACTGCTCAATCAAGAAACCATAGTATAAGCATTTTATTTAGAAATGTGGAGGTATGGCCAGGTGTGGTGGCTCATGCCTCAGATCACGAGGTCAGGAGTTCAAGACCAGCCTGTCCAACATGGTGAAACCCCATCTCTACTAAAAATACAAAAATTAGCCGGGTATGGGACACCTATAATCCCAGCTACTCAGGAGGGTGAGGCAGGAGAATCACTTGAATCCGGGAGGCAGAGGTTGCAGTGAGCCGAGATCGCACCACTGCACTCCAGCCTGGGCGACAGAGTGAGACTCTGTCTCAAAAAAAAAAAAAAAAAAAAGATATGTAGAGGTATATATCAAAAGAAATAGCTACAAAATGAGAAAGTTACTTCTGGGGAGAAAGTCTTTCAGATTTCTCACTTTAATAGGCCTTTTGGAATGATTTGATTTTTTTTTAAGCCACAATCATAAATTTGACTTTTTTTTAAAAAAAAAAAAAAGGTTATGAATGTGATAAGGAACCTACCTTAACTGCCATGAAGAGCTCTTCAAGCTGTGCCATTTGCTCAGGTGAGAGCTGTAAGCAAGCAGAAAGACTCAAGTGAACTATGGAACCTGTATAAAAACTAAAGAGACAGAAATCTTGCCTTTAAGAAATCACATACCTGCAGAGCTAGAATAGAGGTGACACTCACTGCCATTGTTTGCATCTTGGGGTTTTCATGCTTACACAGCCATCTCATGACAAACTTGGCAGCATCAAACCTGAAAAGCAGTATTTATTTTTCTCACAATTATATATAAAGTTTGTGAAACTACACAGAAGAAATCATTTGGCGTTCCCCGAGTAATTCTATAACAAAAACAGTCTTGGACTTTTAAATCCTCAGCTATGAAAACCAAGAGCATTTGGCAGAGAGACCAGGCAGGGGATGGGAGAGTACGCAAATAAGAACGTGAGCAAAATACACAGAATTTACATAAAGATGAGCAAATCTAAGAAAAAATGTATTTATCATCCAGTTTCTACTACGATGGGTCTGAAAAAGAAAGGGAATTTTCAGAGTGGTAGCAATTTGTAATCTGAGTAGCAGACAATGCTAAAATGCTGCAGCAAACATCACTCAGTTACAAAGTGACTGAGCCTAAACCTTGTATTCACAAATCAGGGGCTTTGCTCTTGTTAGCTTGTGCCTCATTTCTCTGCTCTTTTATGTCAGCTATTATAAATGTTTTAAAACTTGTGAATCTGAGAGACTGCTAAGGCCTCAAGGGAAATCCTTCTGGAATGGCTAGGATGATGATGATTTTCTAAATAATTAAAAAGTAAATTACTATTAAAATAATAATTACATAACAAAACGAATAAATGACTAACATTCTTTTTCTTTTTCTTTTTTTTTTTTTTTGAGATGGAGTCTCGCTCTGTCACCCAGGATGGAGTGCAATGGTGCGATCTTGGCTCACTGCAACCTCCGCCTCCCGGGTTCAAGCGATTCTCCTGCCTCAGCCTGCCAAGTAGCTGGGACTACAGACGCCCGCCACCACGCCCAGCTAATTTTTGTATTTTTAGTGGAGATGGGGTTTCACCATGTTGGCCAGGGTGGTCTCGATCTCCTGACCTCGTGATCCGCCCGCCTCGGCCTCCCAAAGTGCTGGGATTACAGGTGTGAGCCACTGCGCCCGGCCTATTACTAATATTCTTTAGAATAGCCTGTACTTTACAGACACTATCGTATCTAACACCGGTAAGAGGCATTATTTAACAAATGAGGAAACTTATAAGCAAAGATAATGAAAGGGCTGGATCTTAAGTCCAAGTATGTTTGGCTCTCGGAACCTGTTCTTACCCACTATCCTGTACTGGAATCACTTCAGGAGACATTTTCAAGTAGGGTACTTCTAATCACTTCTATGTGGAAGAAGCTCAACAGAACCTTCTCTCCAAACACCTTATCCCAGCCTTAATCAGGCCCCTGCATTTAATAACCAAAGGCCAACACCCCAATCAAATGACCAAGTCTTATACTTGCCTGTCAAACGGAACATCCACAAGAATCCTGGAATTGGTTAAGGAGAGAAGACAATTCTTCTGTAACTTTTAGAGAATAAAGAAAAATAATTTTGAACAAATGTAACATTCCATTCTAAACAAAGATTCTATGTATTTGGAAGTATTACCAGTGAGCTTTTCTTATTGAGAGCTCATTGTGTACCTGTCCCTATCCACAATTTTCATTTAATGCTATAACTGATGACTGCCATGAGAGAATGAAGACTGAATAGGATTTTCCAACTTTAAAAGTAAGGTAGAAATAAATGAGGAAAACCACCTTCCTAATTGTATTTTTTAAAAAATCAACTCCCTTTACAAAGTACACATTTGAATTAGATTTCACAAATGTATACCCCTGTGTAACCACTGCTACAATCAAGATATAATACTTCTATCTCCCCAGAGAGTTCCACTGTCCCCTCTTCCAGTCAGTCTCAACCCTGTAACCCTATCCTTGGAAAATTGCAATCATTATAGATTAGTTTTTTTAAGGTGTTATGCAAATGGAATCATGTGGTTCTGCTCTTTTGAGTTTGGCCTGTTTTGCTAAGCATATAACATTTTTGAGTGTCATCTACATACACTGCAGATATCAGTACTTCATCTCTTTGTGTGCCAACCAGTGTTTCCCTAAATAGATTTGTTACAATGTATCTATTCACCTGTTGTTGGACATTTGGTATGTTTCAAGTTTTTGGCAATGAAATAAAGGTACCATGAACATTCATGTAAACATCTTTATATGGATACATGCTTTCACTTATCTTCAATAAATACCTAGGAGTGAATGACTAGGTAGCTTATAAAGTATATATTTAACTTCTAAAGAAACTACCAAACTGTTCAAATTCTTTAATCATTTTTATAACTGGTTTATTTGTACTGTATTGAAAAGTTGAGTTCTTTAGATACTCTGAATGAAGTCGATTCTCATATATATAAAATGAACATATTTCCCAGTCCATCATCTACCTTTTCATTTTAAAAATGTGTTGGGGAGGGGGCCAGGCATGGTGGCTCACTCCTGTAATCCCAGCACTCTGGGAGGCCAAGGTAGGTGATCACCTGAGGTCAGCAGTTCGAAACCAGCCTGGCCAACATGGTGAAACCGCATCTATCCTAAAAATACAAAATCAGCCAGGCATGGTGGCGGGCACCTGTAATCCCAGCTACTCGAGAGGCTGAGGCAGGAGGCAGAGGTTGCAGTGAGCCAAGATCATGCCACTGCACTCCAGCCTGGGCAACAGAGTGAGACTTCATCTCAAAAAAAATAATAAAAATGAAGGTGTGTGTATATACGTGTGTGTGTGAGAAAGAACAGCTTTTAATTTTGATGAACTTTCATTTTTTTCTTTTATAATGGGTGCTTTTCATATCCTAAGATATCTTTACTTACCCCAAGGTCACAAATGTTTTCTCTTATGTTTTGTTAAAGTTTTATTCTTTTCCTTTTTGTTTGTTTGTTTTTGTAGGCCAGGCACAGGGTCTTGTTTAGACAAGGTTTTTGTTAGACAGGGTCTTGCTTTGTTGCCCAGGCTGGAGTGTAGTGGCTCAGATCAAAGCTCACTGCAGCTTCCAACTCCAAGTAATCCTCCTACCTCAGCCTCCCGAGTAGCAAGGACTACAGATGCTTGCCACCTGTAGTTTATTTTTTATTTTTAGTAAAGACTGGGTCTCACTATGTTGCCCAGGCTGATCATAAACTCCTAGCCTCAAGTGAGCCTGCTCTCTTGGTCTCCCAAAGTGCTGGCATTATAGGAATGAGCCACTAAGCCCAGCCTTGCTTTTATATTTAGATGTATGATTCAATTCAGCTTAATTTTCATGTTTAGGGTGAGGTAAAGGTCTAAACAATAAAGCGTTAATAGATGTTTCTGGGCAGTAGGTTTATGAGAGATTTTAAAAATATTAACCTCAGGTCGGGAGCAATGGCTCACACCTGTAATCCTGAGGTCTGGAGTTTGAGCCCAGACTGACCAACATGGTGAAACCCCGTCTCTACTAAAAATACAAAAGAATTAACTGGCTGGGTGTGGCGGCTCATGCCTGTAATCTCAGCACTTTGGGAGGCCGAGGCAGGCGGATCAGGAGGTCAGGAGATCAAGACCATCCTGGCTAACACGGTGAAACCCCGTCTCTACTAAAAATACAAAAAAAAAAAAAAAAAAAAATTAACTGGGTGTGGTGGCGGGTGCCTATAGTCCCAGCTGCTAGGGAGGCTGAGGCAGCAGAATGGCGTGAACCTGGGAGGTGGAGCTTGCAGTGAGCCAAGATCGCGCCACGGCACTCCAGCCTGGGTGACATAGCAAGACTGTCCCCCCCAAAAAAAAAAAAGAATTAGCCAGCTGTGGTGGCATGCACATGTAGGCCCAGCTACTTGGGAGGCTGAGGCAGGAGAATTGCTTGAACCCGGGAGGCAGAGGTTGCAGTGAGCCGAGATCACACCACTGCACTCCAGCCTGGGCAACGAGAATGAAAATCTCTCCAAAAAAAAAAAAGAAAGAAAATTTTAACCTCACTGCTTATCTATATTTCCTATTTTTTCTATAACAAACACAAACTCTTTTATTCTCTTTCTCTAATAGGACAAAAAACCAGAACTAAATAATATATTTTTCACATATTTATCCTAAAGTTAAAAAACACAAATTGTCTGCCGCACACGGTGGCTCACGAGGTCAGGAGTTTGAGACCAGCCTGACCAACATGGTGAAACCCATCTCTACTAAAAATACAAAAGTTAGCTGCACGTGGTAGTGCACGCCTGTAATCCCAGCTACTAAGGAGGCTGAGGCAGGAGAATTGCTTGAATCCGGGAGACAGATGTCACAGTGAACCGAGATCATGCCACTGCACTCCAGCCTGGGTGACAAAGAGAAACTCTGTCTTTAAAACAAACAAACAAACAAAAAACAAAAACAAACAATGCCACTGCACTCTGGCCTGGGCAACAGAGCTGAGACTCTGTATCAACAACAACAAAAAAAGCACAAACAAATATTCAACTGAAATTACCTGCTGATAATGGGGGAAATTTTTCAGAGCCTTGAAAAGTAGACAGGTGACCTCTGACAACAGGCGAACAGGCATCCCCTTGGCCAGGCCCTGGCGTGTTAGGTTGAGAGCGCAAGCACTGGCTGTGAACTGCACTGGCAAATCCAACGGGTGATTCCTCATTCCTACAGCCACAAGCTGAAGATGAACTTGTTTTTAGTGCATATGATGCCACTAATATTATGTATGCTGTCTTGTCCATGTTTTGGTTGGCAGAAATCTTCGTTTATTGGGACAGGAACAGATTTTCCTTACTCCAAGCATTTATTCTTTAGTACATCAGAGTATTACAGCAAAGCCTTCTAATCCAAATGGAGTCACTATCTGTGTGACTTTAGAGAATGTCACTTCCTTTCTCTAGACCTCTGTTTCTTTATCTGTGAAATTAACTCAAAATCATTTATTGAGCCTCACTCCATACAAGCTACTGTGACAGGCGCTGCAGGAGACACAATCATGAGTTAGAGCTACTCATAGCATAAAGCCTTGTGAGAGTAATAACACTATAAGAAATGCCAAAAAAAAAAATGGAAGAAAAGCACCATAAAAGACGCATCAATGAAGTGATGTCTGAAGACAGTAATTATGGAGAGAGTGGTCATTTCTGGGAGAGAATCAAAAGAACTCATTGAGAGAGCACATTTAGGCAGAGTCTCAGGATTTACACAGGAGGAGATAAATGTGGGGGCAGAATGGACAGGGTATTCCTAGGGGAAAGAAGTGTGATAAAGAAAAACAAAGTGGAAAAAAAGGATGGGATAAATCCACCAACAGAGAAGAATTTGAAACATGGTAAAACAAAACATTAGGTAACTTGAAGCTATACTGTGGAAGACCTAGAACACAAATATAAAATGAGGGCATTGTACCAAGCTTAGACCCCACCTGCTCTGCCATTCAGGGACACTGTGATCTGTTTCCTCTACTAGAGACAGACCTGGGATATACTTCTGCTATGGAAAATGGTGTTTTTTTTGTATATTGCTAAACTGATTTTTCAGTTTCATTAGATTGCCATCATCTGCAATTTAGAAATCCAGAAACCAAAAGAAATGTGATTTTCACAAAAATTACAGAATCTTAGTATGAAAAGAAATTTAGAACATCTAAATTCAGCCTAGGCAACATAGTAAGACCTCATCTTTATAGAAAAAACAAAAAAAATAGCCAGGCACGGTGGGGCACACCTATAGTCCTAGCTACTCAGGAGGCTGAGGCAGGAGGATCACTTGAGCCCAGGAGGTCAAGACTGCAGTTAGCTGAGATCATATCATGCCACTGCACTCCAGCCTGGGCAACAGAGTGAGACCCTGTCTCAAAGAACAACAACAAAAACAAACAAACAAAAACAGAAGAACATTTAATTCAATCTCTTCCTTACAGATGGAAAAAAAGGCCCAGAATTTTTTATTTATTTTATTTTTTCGAGTTGGGATCTTGCTCTGTTACCCAGGCTGGAGTATAGTGGCACCATCACAGCTTACTGTAGCAGCCTCAAACTCCTTGGCTCACATAGTCCTCCAATCTCAGTCACCCAAGTAGCTGGGACTATAGGCATGTGCAACCATGCCCAGCTAACTTTTTTTTTTTTTGAGACAGAGTCTCACTCTGTCGCCTAGGCTGGAGTGCAGTGGCATCATCTCGGCTCACTGCAACCTCCGTCTCCCAAGTTCAAGTGATTCTCCTGACTTAGCCTCCCCAGTAGCTGGGATTACAGGCACCTACCACCAAGCCTGGCTAATTTTTGTATTTTTAGTAGAGACGGGGTTCCACCATGTTGGCCAGGCTGGTCTTGAACTCCTGACCTCAGGTGATCTGCCCACCTCAGCCTCCCAAAAAGTGCTGGGATTACAGGTGTGAGCCATGGCGCCCAGCCAGAGCTTTTTTTTTTTTTTTTCCTACATTTTTGTAGAGACAGGGTCTTACTAATGTTGATCAGGATGGTCTTGAACTCCTGGCCTCAGCAAATCCTCCCATCTGGGCCTCCCAACCAAAGTGGTGGGATTACAGGCATGAGCCACCACAGCTGACCCAGAGTTTTTCTTTATACATTATGGCTTTTGAGTTGTAAATAAAGTTAATCTCCCATGCTGTAAAAAATCTTTTTTTTTTTTTTGAGTCTCGCTCTGTCACCAGGAGGGAGTGCAGTGGTGCGATCTCGGCTCACTGCAACCTCAAGCGATTCTCCTGCCTCAGTCTCCCAAGTAGCTGCGACTACAGGAGTGCGCCACCATGCCCAGCTAATTTTTGTATTGTATTTAGTAGAGATGGGGTTTCACCATGTTGGCCAGGATGGTCTCAATCTCTTGACCTCGTGATCCACCCGCTTCGGCCTCTCAAAGTGCTGGGAAAATATCCATATTTTTAAGGAATTGCAAAAAATTACAAATAATAAAAGACAAGATTTTTCTTAAGACCTTTCATTGTCATGTTTCACTAAAAACAACTATGTTTCAAATAAACACATGTATAAAAGAAAAATAAATAACTGCAGTTTTCTTTCCCAAGCCACTTAATACTTGTAATTACATTTACAATAAAACGCATCCTTCCCTAAACCAAAGCTAAGTTTGGCTATATCAATAAAGGCAACTTTATGTTATTCACAAAATAAGTGGTAGATTTGGCCACCCTTTAATTATTTTTATTTTGTTCTGTGCTTGTTTTCTTTTAGAAAGCCACATGATCCTATTAGTCCCTTACTTAGACCAAATTTTAACTGTTTTAATTCAAATTTATTCCACATAAATCTAGATGCTCAAAGCAAAAGACACTTTGTCACCTAAGCTTAATATTCTTTTCTTTGCTCTATGAGAGCACTTGACTCACTAAAGAATGAAGCATATAATTTATTAAATTCAGTGTGGTTTGTTAATAATTGTTAATTGAACCAAGTTAAGAAGTAATAATAAAACATATGTGTGCAAAGTGAAAAAAAAAAAAAAAAAAGAAGTAATAATAAAATTTTTCTTTCTTCAATTACCTTTAAAATAGCAGGCATGGTTACCTCCATTGAAAATGTCTCTGTGAATAGCCTGCAGAGGGCTTCCTTCATAAAACATGATCTGTTCCTGTATCGGCTCAGAGCTTCTGAAATCTGACTCATACTGGCTCCTCCAGCAACCTGAAAATAAAGACGTTACTAAATAGGTTTCACCATTCATTTTTAAGCACAGGGTTTTTGGGGCATCCAGTGTTTGAGACAATAATAAGATGTTCAATTAAATGTTTCAGGTGTTGGCCAGGTGGAGTGGCTCACACCTGTAATTCCAGCACTTTGGGAGGCTAAGGCAGGTGGCTCACCTGAGGTCAGGAGTTAGAGACTAGCCTGAACAATGTGGTAAAACCCCATCTCTACTAAAATTACAAAAATTAGCCAGGCATGGTGGCAGGCGCCTGTAGTCCCAGCTACATGACAAAATATGCTGAGAGAAATTAAAGATCTAAATAAATGCAGAGATATACTGGGTTCAAGAATCAGGAGACTAGTGCCAGGCATGGTGGCTAATGCCTGTAATCCCAACACTTCGGGAGTCTGAGGCACAAGGGTTGCTTGAGCCCAGGACTATGAGATCAGCCTGGGCAACACAGTGAGACCTCACCTCTATTTTTCAAAACAACAGGAGACTCATCGTTATTAAATGGCAATTTTTCTCAAACTGACCTATAGATTCAATGCAATCCCAACTAAAATACCAGTAGTCCTTTTTGTAGATATTGACAAGTTGTTTTTATGAATCATATGGAAATACAAGGAACCTAGAATAACCAAAACAATTATGAAACAGAACCAAAACAATTATGAAACTTCTTCAACATAGTTGAAGAACATAGTTGAAGAAGTCACATTACCTAATTTCAAGACTTCATATAAAGTTAGAGTAATCAAGACAGTAGTCCGGGCGTGATGGCTCGGGCCTGTAATCCCAACACTTTGGAAGGCCAAGGCGGGCAGATCACCTGAGGTCACGAGTTCAAGACCAGCCTGGCCAACATGGTGAATCCTCATCTCTACTAATAAGTACAAAAATTAGCTGGGCGTGGTGGTGCATGCCTACAGTCCCACTTACTCAGGAGGCTGAGCTAGGAGAATCACTTGAACCCGGGAGGCGGAGGTTGCAGTGAGCAGAGATCACACCACTGCACTCCAGCCTGGGTGACAGACCGAGATTCTGTCTCAAAAAAAAAAAAAAAAAATATATATATATACACACACACACATATATATACATATACATATATATATAGAGAGAGAGTATTGGTGTAGATAGACAAACAGATAAAGGTGGCTCACGCCAATAATCCCAGCACTTTGGGAGGCTGAGGCGGGCGGACCATGAGGTCAGGAGATCGAGACTATCTTGGCTAACACGGTGAAACCCCATCTCTACTAAAAATACAAAAAACTGGCCGAGCATGGTGGTGGGCACCTGTAGTCCCAGCTACTGAGGAGGCTGAGGCAGGAGAATGGCGTGAACCTGGGAGGCAGAGCTTGCAGTGAATGGAGATCGTGCCACTGCACTCCAGCCTGGGTGACAGAGCGAGACTCCATCTCAAAAAAAAAATTTAAAAAAAATTTTAAAAAAATAAAGAGCCCAGTAACAGACTCACACATATACGGATACCCGATTTTCAACAAAGATGCCAAGTTAATCCAAGGGGGAAGAGATAATCCTTGGTGGTTGAGCTAAGATCGGACCACTGCACTCCAGCCTGGGCGACAGAGCAGGACTTGACTACCCCCAAAAAAATTTGGAGATCTCGGCTCACAGCAGAGGTTGCAGTGAGCCGAGATCGTGCCACTGCACTCCATCCTGGACAACAGAGTGACTCTGTCTCAATAAAAAAATTAATTAATTAAAATACAACAATTACTAAGTTCAAATCAAAAGAATAAAATGTTAACACAACGAATGAGTATACAAATCACTTTACTCTCTTCCCCTAGGAAGAACAAAGGAGGTATGATTATAAAGAAAGAATTCTTTTAAAACAATAGCTCTGGGCTGGGCACGGTGGCTCAAGCCTGTAATCCCAGCGCTTTGGGACCCCAAGGCGGGTGGATCACCTGAGGTCTGGGAGTTCAAGACCAGCCTGACTAGCATGGTGAAACTCTGCCTCTACCAAAAATACAAAAAATTAGCCAGGCGTGGTGGCACACGCCTGTAATCCCAGCTACTCGGGAAGCTGAGGCAGGAGAGTTGCTTGAATCCAGGAGGCGGAGGTGGCAGTGAGCCGAGATTGCGCCATAGCACTCCACCCTGGGCAACAAGAGCAAAACTCTGTCTCCACAAAACAAAAAATAATAATAATAATAGCTCTGAACCTTGGCTCTACATTATAATTAGCTAGGAGTTTTTAAAATCCTGATGCCGAGGCCAAGTCCCAGACCAATTAAATCATAATCTCTGGGGGACAGGACACAGGCATCAGTAAAGCTCCCACAGTGATTACAATGTATATCTAAGGTAAAGAACCACTGTTTTAAAAACATATATTCCTAACCACATATATTTAAATATATGTTCAAAAGTAACACCACGAGCCAGGCACAGTGGCACATGTCTGTAGTTCCAGCTACTTGGGAGGCTGAGGCAGGAGGACTGCCTGAGCCCAGGAGTTCTGGGCTATAGTGTGCATGCCAATTGGGTATCCATACCAAGCCTGGCATCAATGTTAAGCTTCCAGGAGCAGGGGACCACCAGGTTGCCTAAGGAGGGGTGAACTGATCAAGGCCAGAAATGGAGGTCAAAACTCCCATGCTAATCAGTAGTGAGGTCATGCAACATAGTGACACCTTGCCTCTAAAAATATTAAAATTTTAATTTAAAAATTTTTTAAATGAATAAAAAATGAATACCATGTGCATCTATAGACTTATCCCATCATCTCATCAACGCTCAATACTTTTCTCTTAGGTAATATTTTCTTTTTTCTTTTTTTCAGACAGAGTCTCACTCTGTCACCCAGGATGGAGTGCAATGGCACGACCTCAGCTCACTGCAACTTCTGCCTCCTAGGTTCAAGCGATTCTCCTGGCTCAGGCTCCTGAGTAGCTGGGATTTACAGGGGGGCGCTACCACACCCAGCTAATTTTTGTATTTTTAGTAGAGACAGGGTTGGCTAGGCTGGTTTTGAACTCCTGATCTCAAGTCTTGGCCTCTCAAAGTGCTGGGATTACAGGCACAAGCCACCATGCCAGGCCATAAAACCCCAAAATGTAAAATTGCTTGTCAATACTTTACACAAAAATAATGTTAGCCATGTTGATCACATACCTTATCCATTATATTCTGCTCTTCACAGAGCTAAAGAACACAAGTTTTAGAGTCATAAAGACTTTGGCACAGGTCCCCGCTCTACCACTTAATAGTTCCATGATTTTGGGTAAGTAGCTAAACCTCCTGAAGCTTCCACTTTCCTCATCCATGTCAAATGGGAGGATGAAAGGAGAAAACCACATGCAGGGCATGGTGTCCCACTCCTGTAATCCCAGCACTTTGGAAGGCGGAGGCGGGCAGATCACTTGAGGTCAGGAGTTCGAGACCAGCCTGGCCAACATGGTGAAACCCTGTTTCTACTAAAAATAAAAAATTAGCTGGGCGTGGTGGCAATGATGGTGAGAGATGGTGCCACGGCACTCCACCCTGGGCAACAGAGGGATACTCCGTTGCAAAAAAAACAAAAAACAAAAACGGTCCTGATTGTAAAGCCAACATGGAGGCTGGGACTATATCTTTTTTTTTTTTTCTTTTTGAGACCGAGTTTCACTTTTGGCCAGGCTGGAATACGGTGGTGCAATCTCAGCTAACTGCAACCGCCACTTCCCAGGTTCAAGTGATTCTCCTGCCTCAGCCTCCCAAGTAGCTGGGATTACATGTGCCCACCACCACACCAGGGCTAATTTTTGTATTTTTAGTACAGACCAGGTTTCACCATGTTGGCCAGGCTGGCCTCGGACTCCTGACCTCAAGTGATCTGCCCGCCTCGGCCTCCCAAAGTGCTGGGGATTACAGGCATGAGCCACCGTGCTCAGCCTACATCTTAATATTACATTCTCACGTGTGGCTGGGCACAGTGGCTCACGCCTGTAATCCCAGCACTTTGGGAGGCCGAGGCAGGCAGATCACTTGAGGTCAGGAGTCTGAGACCAGCCTGACCAACATGAAGAAACCCAATCTCTATTAAAAATACAAAACTACCCAGGTGTGATGGCACATGCCTGTAATCCCAGCTACTCGGGGGGCTGAGGCAGGAGAATCACTTGAACCCAGGAGGCAGAGGTTGCAGTGAGCGGAGATCGCACCATTGCACTCCAGCCTGGGCAACAAGAGCAAAACTCCATCTCAAAAAATAATAATATTCTCACAACCTACCACATAGTAGGTGCACAATAATCGTTAATTATTAAATAAGCTGTTCAAGGATTTTTTTATCTGTCTCCGTAACCCGAATACCTGGAAAAATTCTGGTCTATAGCACAAGTTTAATAATGTTCTAAACAAATGAAACAAAACTTATTTAGACAAGAACAAACCCTCAAGCCTTGCTTTGTAGTAAAGAAGTCAGAAGAGCCAGCATCTGTGGCCAATAGTCCCACAAATTGCATGGCAGGCCGCTGTTGTATAAATAGTTCTACAGCTTCATCAGTGATGCATATGCCCCCAGAAATATCCAATGACACAACATTGGGCAGGATATCCTTCTGCTGTAGCAAATGAAAAGCTAGGTCTGATTTGAGTTGCCTGTGATCAGAAATATCAAGGTGAAGCAGACACGTAAGTCCTCTAATGACTGCAAGAATTTGTGATTTGGTCATGGTCAGGCATTTTAGATAGTGCATTGTAAGAGACTTCAATCGATCCTTACAGGTAAGCAGTGCAGAAATATCAGTGACCAGAGTATTAGAGATATCTAAGCTTTCCAGTCTTGGTAACTGAGAAACATTAGCCAGGTCTTCAGTATGAAAACAAACATTAAAAACACTTAAAATGCGAAGACCAGTGAGCTGACTAAAGAACAGTAAACTTGAATTTCGAGGGATGCTTGTCGAGTCTAACAGGAGACACCGGAGGTTTTGCTGGATCCAGCTATTGCTGCAGAGTCCACTTATGATGTCTGGAACAGGGAGGTCAGCGTGCACTGCAGTAGCATTCAGTTCAATGAGCTTATGATGGCAGAAGGCTTTTATGAATGCAGCTGTAGAGATTTTAGCTTTTTGGATATTGACCAGCTTCAGTTTCATTTGGTTGCCTCGGAAAATGCTTGCTGTTCTGTCAGTCAGCTTGCCTATAAAAGAACCAGAACCAACTTGTAATGACGACTAGATCTCATGTCTTTCCAGGATAAAATGTGGCAAAGAAGACACATGCTAATAATAACAATAATGACAACATTTACTGCTCTGTGCTAGCATTGTTCTAAACTCCTTTAATAAGATTATTATCTCATGTACTCTTTGCATTAATACTATAAAGGAATTATTATTACTACTATTACGTAGCTGAGGAAACTGAAACTTGAATAGGTGAGTATGTCAAAGAAATAGAAGACAGAGCAGCAAATCACTCAAAATGTAGAACAACACTACTGGGACATAGTGCCTGTTGGGGGGCATGGCTGGAAGCAAGGATGAAGAGGATGGTAAAAGTCCTGTCCACAAAGCTAGGAAATTCAGACTTTTATCCTATGGACAACGAGGAACAACTGAAGACTTTTTAACCATAAAATGAATAGTCATCACATTTTTTTTTTTTTTTTTTGAGACTGAGTTTCGCTCTTGTCACCCAGGCAGGAGTACAGTGGTGTAATCTCGGCTCACTGCAATCTCCGCCTCCTAGGTTCAAGTGATTCTCCTGCCTCAACCTCCCCAGTAGCTGGGATTACAGGCACCTGCCACCACGCCCGGCTAATTTTTGTACTGTTAGTAGAGACCGGGTTTCACCATGTTGGCCAGGCTGGTCTCAAACTCCTGACCTCAGGTGATCCACCCACCTCGGCCTCCCAAAGTGCTGGGATTACACGAGTGAGCCACTGCGCCTGGCTGGTCGTCGCATTTTGATGTAGCTTCTTTTTTTTAAAAAAAAAAAAAAAAAAAGGATTATAATTACATTTTTAGAAACACCAATTTTGTGACAGAGTAAAGAACTTAGGGCCAGGCACAGTGGCTCACATAAGGAGTGTTCAGAGTGAGAAAAGTATCCAAGACACGTCCTTAAGAAGCACAAAATACTTAAGGTACAGATAGAAAAACAGAAGGAAATTGTGGAAGAGTGATCTGGTATACAAGAAAAAAAACAAAACAGAAAACTACTCTAAACCAGAAAGGTGAAGGAGAGTAATGACCACTAAAAGTCAAACCAACAAGAAACTCTGACAATTTTTTTTTTTTTTTTAAGACAGAGTTTCACTCTTGTTGCCCAGGCAACCTCTGCCTCCTGGCTTCAAGCGATTCTCCTGACTCAGCCTCCCGAGTAGCTGGGACTATAGGCGCCCACCACCTCACCCGGCTAGTTTTTTGTGTTTTTTTAGTAGAGACGGGGTTTCACTGTGTTAGCCAGGATGGTCTTGATCTCCTGACCTCGTGATCCGCCCGTCTCAGCCTCCCAAAGTGCTGGGATTACAGGCTTGAGCCGCAGCGCGTGGCCCAGTTTTTTTTTTTTTTCTTTTAAGAGACAGAGTCTCACTCCTGCCCAGGATGCAGTGCAATGGCGCGATTATAGCTCACTATAGCCTCGAACGCCTGGTTCCAAGCAGTCTTCCCGCCTAGACCTTCCAAAGTGCTAGGATTACAGGCATGAACCACCGTGCCCAGCCACTCCTGATAATTTAACGGATCTAGGCAATGATATTCCATCTATGGCCACCGCAATCACAAAAACAAACCAACCTTATCAACTCCCTGAAGAAAGCACATAGCACCACACCAAGAGTTAAAAAAAAAAAAAAAAAAAAAAACCCGACATGAACTTGATCAAGCATCTACCTCCAACGTTCAAGTGACACGATATACAGGGATCAGAAGAACACGTAAAAATCATAGCACTTATATGACAAAATATCTATTAAAAGAAACTTTATACAACAAATGATCAGTTTTATAATCTGGGGTTACAGGTGTGAGCCACCACATCCGGCCGTAGTTTTTGTATTTTTAGTACAGATGAGGTTTCACCATGTTGGCCAGGCTGGTCTCAAACTCCTGACCTCAAATGATCTGCCTGCCTCAGCCTCCCAAAGTGCTGGGATTACAGGCATGAGGCACCCTGCCTGGCCCATAATCAATTTCAGAACCTCAAAATTTCCATCACCTCAGAAAGAAACCTTGTGCCCATTAGATTTTACTTCCTTTTTCTCACATCCCTCCAGCCCTAAGCAACCACTAGTCTACTTTCCATCTCTATGGATTTGCCTATTCTGAACATTTAATACAAATCAAATCATCCAATATGTGGTCTTGTGTGCCAAACCTTTTTCATTTAGCATGTTTTTAAGGCTCACGTTGTGCAACATGTATATCTGTACTCGTTCCTTTTTATAGTCACATATTCTACTGTATGGACATACCACATTGTATTTATCTGTTTTTCGGTTGATGGACATTTGTGTTGTTTTCACTTTTGGGCTATTATGAATAATATGGTACCATAAAGATATGTGTACACATTTTATTTTTAAACTTAAAAAAAATGTATTCTAAACTTTCTCTGCCCCATATGAATCTGCAGGAATGTGTAAAAGTTTCTATGTGGATATAAGTTTTCATTTCTCTTGAGTGAAATTGCTGGATCAAATGGTAACTCGTTATCTTTTTGAGGAACTACCAGACTGTTGTTTGTGGCTGTGCGATTTTACATTCCCGCCAGCAGTGTCCAAGAGTTTCTCCACGTTCTCACCAAGACTCATCTGACATTTTGATTATAGCCATCCTAGTGGATGTGAAATAGTATCTGTTGGGCTTTTAATTTGCATTTCCCTAATGACTAATGGTGTTGAGCAACTTGTCATGTGCTTATTGGCCATTTGTGTCTTTTTTTTTTTGAGACAGAGTCTCTGTTGCCCAGGCTGGAGTGCAGTGGCGCGATCTCGGCTCACCACAACCTCCACCTCCTGAGTTCAAGTGATTCTAAATCTAATGGGCACAAGGTTTCTTTCTGAAGTGATGGAAATTTCGAGGTTCTAAAATTGATTATGGGCCAGGCAGGGTGCTTCACACCAGACATGATGGCTCACACCTGTAATCCCAGGTTATAAATAAATAAATAATAAAATGCCCTTTTTTTCCTTTCTTTTTTTAGTGGAGTTCTTTAAGCACAGCTACAATGGGAGGTAAGACTCATAACCATAATGAAAAGAATGGTAAACAAGACAACAGCAAGAGCATTTTGAAAAAGCTAGAGAGCAGGCCGGGCGCGGTGGCTCACGCCTGTAATCCCAGGACTTTGGGAGGCCAAGGCAGGCGGATCACCTGAAGTCAGGAGTTCGAGACCAGCCTGGCCAATGTGATAAAACCCCGTCTCTACTAAAAATACAAAAATCAGCCAGGCATGGTGATGGGCAACTGTAATCCCAGCTACTTGGGAGGCTGAGGCAGGAGAATCGCTTGAACCCAGGAAGTGGAGGTTGCAATGAGCCAAGATTGTGCCACTATACTTCAGTCTTGGTGACAAGAGCTAAACTCCATCTCAAAAAAAAAAGAAAGCTAGAGAGCAGATGGATAAGTGATAACTTAGTAAGTGAAGAGTGGAAAACCAAGTCAATAGCAGGGCTAGCCTAGAAGACAACTTCCATCATGGAATCCCAGAAAGAGTGAGTCTCAACTTCCAGACAAATGAAATGGAAATACGTTGTGAGAATCACAATAGGAACTGTGTGTGAAAGTGCTTTTCAAAGAGTAAAGTACTGCAAGAGCTGACTTTAGAGAAGGCTTATCACTACCTTGCCAAGTCATCACCCTGAGAAATCGATCAGCTACTTCCTGAGGGAAACTCCAATGCTCCGGAAGGCACAGCGTTCCATCAGGTCTTTCAGAACACAGTTTCTCCAGGTTAGCAATCAGGACATTCAGGCAGATGTTGACCAAAGTGTAGGGAGATGCCTCTTCCTAACAAACAAAACCCCAAACAAATTTTGTTAGAACACATCTGCAAAAATTCAACATAAAACTAGTCATGCCATACATATTCCATTTGATGAGGGTATGTGAAGAAACATCCTTCATACTCTAATAATGATTTATATGTAACGAAACCACCTCATTCCAACGTTAACTGAATGGAAAATTTAATCTGTTGTCTCTTCTGTTGTACAGCTGTCCCTCAAAACCTGCAGGAGATTGGTTCCAGAACTCCCCAACCAGCATCCACAGATGCTCAAGTCCCCTTATATAAAATGGTGTAATGTTTGCATATAACCTATGCAGACATTCTCATACACTATAAATCATTTCTAAATTACTTATAAGCACTAATACAGTATAAATGCATTATACTGTATTGTTTACAGAATGACAAGAAAAAAGTCTGGACATGTTCAGTACAGACACAGGTTTTTTCCCCCAAATATTTTCCATCTAAAGTTGGCTGAATTCACATATACTGAACCCACAGTCAGAAAGAACATATTGTATCTTGAAAAACATTAAGTTCTTTTATTCTTTTTTTTGAAACAGGGTCTCACTATCGCCTAGGCTGGAGTGCAGCGGCACAATCATAGCTGAATGCAGCTTTGACTTTCCCAGTCAGTTGATCCTTCCACCTCAGCCTCCTGAGTAACTGGGACTACAAGCTCATGCCACCACGCCCAGCTAATTTTTTGTACATTTTATACAGTCCCACTTTGTTGCCCAAGCTAGTCTCGAAACTCCTGGGCTCAAGAGATCCTCCCACCTTAGCCTCCCCAAGTGCTGGATTATAGGCATGAGCCACCACACCTGGCCCCAATATTACGTTCTCTTAATGCTTTACTGATCACCTGTTCTGTGCTAGCCACTGAAAATACAGAGATGGGTAAGATACAGTTCTAGTTCCTTTAGAGTTAACATTTACTGAAAAATACAAACAAGAAATTGACAATTTCAGTGCAACATTTGGAACACTTCAAGCAGAGATCACATGGTCATTTATTCAACAAATATGTATTCATTGATTATCATGTGTCTACTCCCAAAACTATTCACAACCTCAAACGGTGATACATTCAAGGTCCTATGAAAGTGTAAGAAACTGACAGGAAGGTGAGGCTATAAAGTCATGTACAGACTCATGATTTTTGGAATTACAATGGTATAAAGTAGAAACCATACTTGAGATTTTGAGTTTTGATCTCTTCCCGGGCTAGTGACATATAACATGATACTCTTTCAATGCTGGTCAGCAGAGTGAGCTGCAGCTCCCAGTCAGCCACATGATCACAAGGGTGAACAACTACTACTTGATATCTTCTTGAACACTATGCCTGCTAAACCATCAACAAGTGTCAGTGGGCTCCAATGTTTAGAAGGGCAACTAGTGACCCTGTTAATGTAGCTTCTCCATCATCCAGCAATTAACTTTTAGTTCAATGCTTCAAACATTCTTCAGGCCCAGCGAGCTTTCAGCTGTATATGTTAACAGTGAGTACCCATATGACCACTGTTTTTCACTGTCAGTATCAATAAATTCCATGAGATATTCAACACTATAATGAAATGGGCTTTGTGCTAGATGATTTTGTTCAACTGTAGGCTGATGTAAGAGTTCTGAGCACATTTAAGGTAGGTCAGACTAACCTGTATTTGGTAGGTTATGAGTATTAAATGCATTTTGGACTTAGAATATTTTAAATTTACAAGGGTTTTATTGGGACATAACCCTATCGTAAAGCAAAAAATGCTTTTCTCCTCTACAAAACAGAAAGGCTGGCCAAGCGTGGTAGCTGTTAATTCCCGCACTTTGGGAGGCCGAGGTGGGTGAGTCACTTGAGGTCATGAGTTTGAGACCAGGCTGGCCAACATAGCAAAACCCTGTTTTTACTAAAAATACAAAAATTAGCCAGGCATGGTAGCACATGCCTATCTATAGTCCCAGCTACTCAGGAGCCTTGAGGCTGGAGAATCCCTCGAACCCAGAAGGCTAGAGAGTGCCGTGAGCTGAGATAGCATCACTGCACTCCAGCATGGGTGATAGATGCCATGTCAAAAAAAAAAGGTGCTCTAAAATTAACTGTCGGGCAAGGTGCAGAGGCTCACTCCTGTAATCACACCACTTTGGGAAGATGAGGTGGGTGGATCATCTGAGTTCGAGACCAGCCTGGCCAACATGGTGAAACTCCATCTTCACTAAAAATACAAAAATTGGCCAGGCGCGGAGGCTCACACCTGTAATGCCAGCATTTTGGGAGGCCGAAGTGGTTGGATCATGAGGCCAGGAGTTTGAGACCAGCCTGGCCAACATAGTGAAACCTCGTCTTTAATAAAAATATGAAAAATTAGCCAAGGGTGGTGGCAGGCGCCTGTAATCCTAGCTACTGGGAAGGCAGAGGCAGGAGAATCACTTGAACCCGGGAGGCGGAGGTTGCAGCAAGCCAAGATTGTGCCACTGCACACCAGCCCAGGTGACAGTGCGAGACTCCGTCACAAAAAAAAAAAAAAAAAAAAAGAAAAAAAAATTAGGAAGGCATGGTGGCAGGAGCCTGTAATCCCAGCTACTCAGGAGGCTGAGGCAGCAGAATCACTTGAACAAGGGAGGTGGAGGTTGCAGTGAGCTGAGATCACACCACTGCACTCCAACCTGGGTGACAGAGTGAGACTACATCTCAAAAAATAAAAAAATGAAATAAAATAAAATTAATTAATTAATTAAAATAAATAATAAAATAAACTGTGGGCCAGGGATGGTGGCTCACACCTGTAATTCCAGCACTTTGGGAGGCAGAGGCGGGCTGATTACTTGAGGTTAGGAGTTCAAGACCAACCTGGTCAACATGTTGAAACCCCATCCCTACTAAAAATACAAAAATTAGCTAGGTGTAATGGCTCACGCCTGTAATCCCAGCTACTCGGGAGGCTGAGGCAGGAGAATCACTTGTACCCGGGAGGCGGAGGTTGTAGTGAGCCCAGATCGTGCCATTACACTCCAGCCTGGGTGACAGAGTGAGACCCTGTCTCAGTAATAATAATAATAATAATAAATTGACTGTGGTAATGGTTACACATCTATGAAAAGTCTCCTGGTCAGGCACAGTGGCTCACACGTGTAATCCCAGCATGAAAGGTCAAGACAGGTAGATCATGTGAGCTGAGGAGTTCAAGACCAGATGTGGAAACATGGCAAAACCCTGTCTCCACAAAAAATACAAAAAAATTAGCCGAATGTGGTAGGGTGTGCCTGAGTCCCAGCTACCTGGGGGGGCTGAGGCAGGAGAATTGCTCCAGCCCAGGAGGTCAAGGCTGCAGTGAGGCAATGAGCCATGACTGCACCACTCCACTCCAGCCTAGATGACAAAATGAGACCCTGTCTCAAAAAAAAAAAAAAATTATAAGTCTCTGAATTGCAAAATATATATAGACACTCAAAGTAGCATCCATAAAGTTCATCTTACAATAAAATATCAGACATGAGAAGCAGGAAAAAAAAAGTCAATAGAAACAAATCCCAAAATAACTTTAATAAGCTAACAGACCGGAATTTAAAACAGTTATTATAATTCATGGGTTTAAAACAGAACATGAACACAATAAGAGAACAAATATGGAAATACCAGAAAAACAGAAGATATGAAAAAGACCAAAAGGAAATGCCTAGAGTTGAAAAAATACACCAGGCCAGACACAGTGGGTCACGCCTGTAATCCCAAAGATTTTGGAGGCCGAGGTGGGCAGATCACAAGGTCAGGAGATCGAGACCATCCTGGCCAACACGGTAAAACCTCGTCTCTACTAAAAATACAAAAATTAGAAGCTGGGCACAGTGGCTCATGTCTGTAATCCCAGCATATTGGGGGAAAAAAACAAAAAAACAAAACAAACAAACAAACAAACAAAAAACAGCAGATAGGATTATCAGCAGATCAGAACTACAAAATAAAAGATCACTAAAGATGAAGTCAGGACAATAGAAATGACTCAGACTGAAACAGAAAAAGGCTGGGGAAAAAGTTGAAAACCATGGTGCCCCAATTAAGGCACTTCTTAACCGATCTTAAGCAGCCTATTAGAAATGTATAATTGAAACTCTAGGCCAGCACGGTGGTTCACGTCTGTAATCCCAGCACACTTGGAGGCCCAGGCAGGCAGATCACTTGAGGCCAGGAGTTCGAGACCAGTCTGGCCAACATGGTGAAACTCCATCTCTACTAAAAATTCAAAAAAATTAGCTGGGCATGTTGGCACACACCTGTAAATCCCAGCTACTCAGGAGGCTGAGACATGAGAGTCCCTTGAGCCCAGGAGGCAGAAGGTTGCAGTGAGCGGAGATCGCGCCACTGCACTCCAGTCTGAGTGACAGAGCAAGACTTGGTCTCAAAAAAAGTAAAGAGGCTGGGCACAGTGGCTCACGCCTGTAATCCCGGCACTTTGGGAGGTTGAAGTGGGCAGATCACAAGGTCAGGAGATTGAGATCATCCTGGCAAACATGGTGAAACTCCAACTCTACTAAAAATACAAAAATCAGCTGGGTGTGGTGGCGTGTGCCTGTAATCCCAGTCCTAGCTACTCCGGAGGCTGAGGCAGGAGAATCTCTTGAACTAGGAAATCGGAAGTTGCAGTGAGGTGAGATCAAGCCACTGCACTCCAGCTGGGTGACAGAGCGAGACTCTGTAAAAAAAAAAAAAAAAAAAAAAAAAAAAAAGAAAAGAAAGAAAAAGAAAAGAAAAGAAAAGAAAAGAAAAGAAAAGAAAAGAAAAGAAAAGAAAAGAGAAAAGAAAAGAAAAGAAAAGAAAAGAAAAGAAAAGAAAAGAAAAGAAAGAAACTCCAGAAGAGAGAAATGGGAAAGAATATTTTAACAAAAAATACTTAATAAGGACAATGTCCTATACTTGGAACCTATAAAATTGCTTTGTACCGGGCACAGTGGCTCACATCTGTAATGCCAGCACTTTGGAAGGCTGAGGCGGGTGGATCACAAG